CAAACTTTTATAGCTTTAGTTTTTAGTTTGAGTCAAATGATTTACTTTTTACTTTTCTGAATAGTGTCAATTAGGGGTTGAGAATATTTTTTTTAACATAGTTCTAGCATCATTTTTAAAAATATGATTCTTTTCCATTGAATTACCTTGGAAACTTTGCCCAAAATCAATCGACCATTTGTGTATATATCTATTTGTAGACTAGTTATTGTATTTCATTACACTATGTATTTATCTTCATGACACTACCAGATGGGTTAGTCTTGATTATGATAGCTTTATAGTAAGCCTTGAAAGCAGATATAATAGTATAAATCATCAAACTTTGTTTTCTTTTTGCAAATTTATTTTGGCTACTTCAGATCATTTTAAAAAGGTTAGTTCAGATAAATGCCTTCCTTTTCTATTACTGAGGTTATTTTCTCTTTTTTTTAAATTAATTAATTAATTAATTAAATTTTTTTTTTTAGGGAAATATTTTATTGGGAAAAGCTTATTAGAGAATAATTTAGGGCATCCACACAAATTAAAATCTTCAATCTTTTGACACAATTCTCCTCTTTGAACTTTTTTTTTTTTTTTTATCAATCTTTATTGTTCATATTGTTGCAAAGGTTCCTCATTTCTTCCCCCCTCCACCAGGTTCCCACCCCACCTTCCGCCCCCTCCCCATCCCCCATTGTCCTCATCCATAGGTGCAGTTTATGTTCAGTCTCTTCCTCCCTCCCTTTCCCCGATAGTAAATTCCTTTTCAAATAGTAAATCAGTTACTTAGCATTTTCTCATATCAATAATACCACCACATGCTCAATGATACATTTCACACAAAAGACATTTCCAAATAGGTCAACCAGCCTCATCCAGGCCCCACCCAAGGCACTCACAGATCAACACAGATCAACACCCCAGCCCTATACTAACTCAACACATCCAGATCTAAGCCTTCATCACTTGATTCCGCAGACCCTCAAGTTCCCACAAAAGTTTCCAGCCATGTCTGAGAGGCAGCCGTGGGGCAGGGGCAGGCGAGGAGCGAGCTGTTCCGGGCCTGGCTGCTTCGGGCCTGGCCTCTGTTGCTCTGGTTCGTTCCACAACCAGCTGCTCCAGGTCTGGTCTTTTTTTTCTTAAATGTTAAATAGAATATTCATTAATGAAACTACTAGGCTCTAGAATTCTATGTGTGTATAAATTTATGATATGATTGTTCTTTCTCCTTTCACTCATTCTGTCTTCCTACATTTCTTTTCTCATCCTCTGAGCTCATTTGTCAATAAAACATGAAACAAGAAAAAGTATGCCATTATTGAAAACAGGAAAGATATGATTGCATGCCTCTTACTAATATTGTATGTGGCTTTCATATATATGTGTATAATTTGTTTACCAATCATCACATCTCCCTCTGGCTGTAAGAATGTCACACACTTTATTTACATTTTAATGTATAAGTTCATACCAGCTCTATGTTGTGTCATTTGTTTGGTTGTCAAGGAACCTGCATACACAATATGGTTTCACATTTCTAAGCTCACTCCCAATTTCAGTTTTGTCACTGATAATCATTTCATACTCAAATCTGTTTAACCAAAATTGCTCATCTGTTTTGATCCTCTCCTGAGTTATACTATGTCCAAACATTTTAAAATCTGTTCATACTTTGAGGAAATTTTAGTATAGGATAATTTTATATGAGAAAACAAGAATCAGTGAAAAGAACATGGAGTAAAATAAATCTTGTTCAAATCCTAAACTGACATTTTCTACTTGTGAAAAAAATAGTAAGTGGTGTGTTGATTAAGCTTATAGGTGCTCAATCCATGGTGTAAAAATTATAAATTAAATATTATACACAATATTTATATACTTTATATAGTATAACACGAGAATACTTGATAGAGGGTATAAGCAAACAGAAATTCTTAACTGCTTGATATATGTTTCTATTTGAGAAAAGATGTTGGTATAAACCAACCTGTCACTTAGTTACAATTCAGCTCAAAGAATTGTAGCATATATATTGTAGCATCAGAAAGCTAGAGAGATGCACGAAAAACATGAAGGTTATAAATATAGGCAGAATGTAAAATGTGGTTCTTTCCTTTAAGAAATTTATGGACTCATTTGACAGCCAGCCATATATCTGAAACAATCGCTTCATAATAGAAGGTATGTTATATCAATAGCTACTATTTACTGAGTGTCAAGCATTGTTTAGATGTCTTATAGACATTATTTATCATCTTATCATCTCAAGCTAACTCTATAAGGTGTTATTATCCCCATGATACTGAGTTTCATGGAGGTGGAACTGAATAGCAAAGTCATTCAACTAATAATAATAATAATAACAGCGTAGTCAACACTTATGGACTATCTACAGTGTTCATCTTCAGTGGGACATAGTGATGGATTGTAGAGCACAGGAGATGGCTGATGGCCAGGTTGCTCCCTGTAGTACAAGTCTCAGCAGAGCATTCTCATGGCTGCCACATTCTCTAAAGGACAGAGCCAGACATTTACCTCAAACTTTTTGCAGAGCACCCAGGAACTAATCATTTGCTTTGCCATTGAGCAGACTTAGATTCATCAGAGAGCGATACATAGAAACTGGCCTTCATGTGTTTCCAGAACCAAAGCTTGCTTAGAAATACTGTGAGGTCATTGCACCTGTATATTCTAGCTAATTCTCATCTTTATTTTCCTAACATAGTTAAGAGCTGAGGTGTGGATTCACTGAGAATGCTATCTAAGCATCAACATAAGCCTTGGTTAAATGTCTGCCTGATAAGTCTGACAATAACTATAATGGGGCAATGAGAAGAATGAAATGAAGTTCTCTGTAATTTCTGATATTCCTTTGTTGAGAAATTTATTTCATCATTAATGTATCTGTAGATGAAAATGTTTTCTTTATGAGGGTTGCCTATATAATCTACATGCATTTGATGTAAAATATTTTTACCTATGTGAAGCAGAAAATGTACCAATAGTCTCTTGAAATTCTCATATATCCCCCTGGCTGCAGTTGTTAGAGGGAAAGATGAAAATAATCATAGAGGAGGGAGCATTTTGAGCGATGGAGGAGAGTTTTACAAGTGCTCACATCCAAATTCAGTTAAGTCTGGAGCAGTTTTCACTGCAGTCGTGGAGGGCGCCTATTTGCAGAAAACTTAAAAGATGAGGTTCTAATTTGGGGGTACTTGTGTAATTTTAGCCTTTCCTTCATTATACTGGTCTTTCTTTCTTTCTTTCTTTCTCCTTCCTTCCTTCCTTCCTTCCTTCCTTCCTTCCTTCCTTCCTTTCTTTCTTTCTTTCTTTCTTTCTTTCTTTCTTTCTTTCTTTCTTTCTTTCTTTCTTTCTCCTTCCTTCCTTCCTTCCTTCCTTCCTTCCTTCCTTCCTTCCTTCCTTCCTTCCTTCCTTCCTTCCTTTCTTTCTTTCTTTCTCCTTCCTTCCTTCCTTCCTTCCTTCCTTCCTTCCTTCCTTCCTTCCTTCCTTCCTTCCTTCCTTCCTTCCTTCCTTTTTTGGTATAGTAAGTAGAAAAAGGAATAAATATCAGAGCAGTTTTCCCAAGTGTATTCCTTAGAAAATTGGGGTCACGTACGTTTAATTGGTATTATTCAAACAATAAAATTCTAAAACCAAATAAGGCTGTGGAAAAATAGTTTTAAACAAAGTTAAACAGTTTGTTGACTGTATGATTATTCCCAGCCTTAATTATGCTATTGTAAGGTAAAGCTGTCTAAGCAAGTCATGTATGTAGCATTTCTATGTATACATATATTTCTATTGTATGATTCTCCAAGCAAGTCATACATATGTGCATCACATACAGCTTAACATTTATCCATCTATTCTATGTTTCAACATGAGCTAGAGCTCCTTTTTTACAATAACATCTTATGGGAGTCATGCTTTATAGGAAAACAGTGGGAAATGCGGATTCAGAGTGATAAGTCAACAAAATCTATATAGATTATATGTGACTTAGTCTGGGTAACTGGAGGCTAAGGTTCTCTTCTTTAAAGAACCGAGAGTCACCTGGGATTTATAATATCTGATCTCCTCCTAGTCTAACATCCTCACATGCGTTAGTTTGAGCCAGCAGAATGTTCATGTGAACGCATTCCTCAGGGAGCCCTCATAGAAACAGGTCAAATAAATTAGAGGACTGTTGGAGTTTCATTAACAAGAGATAGCTGAGTCAGGCCGACGTACCCAGCAATTACAGTGAATAAGGTAAGGCTTAGACAAACACACCACTGGAAAGCACAGGCAAACACAGCCCTGGCGGGAAGTGCCTGGAGAAAGGCTGTTTGGATAGCACCTGCCAATCCTACAAAGTGGACCACACAGACTTTTCTTGACTGGGTGTGTCAGTCCACCAGATCCATTACACAGAAGAATGAAACTAAGGCAGCCAAATGGGCCCTCTGTCATGGCTGCAAACATAACCTGTCATGACTAGCACACTCTGTGCTATCTCTTGAGACTAGACTCAACGCAGCACACAGTGCTAGCCACCTACTTCTCCTCCCCTGCCCCATTATTTGCAAGACATGTTAATAAATTTCTTCCCGTGAAGTCTGTGCCAATGCTCACTCCCACCATCAGAAGAAAAATACTACTTTATCTGCTAACTAGAGTCACTAAATCTGCGTGGATGAATAGATTGGCCGTTACATTTCTTTTTCTGTGAATTATACATTTCCTTCTTTTGTCCAATTATCTGTTGGACACTTAATTGATGTTGGTTTCTTCCTTTCTTCCTTCTTCTGTCTTTCTTTCTGAAAAAGTTACCATTTTAGATTCTTTTTTTTTTTTTTTGCAACCATTTTAGATTCTTCATGGGTTAAGTCTTGAATAATTAAGTATAGTACTTGTTTAAGCACAACTGGAACTGTGTTTCTACTCTCTCCCACAGTAGAGTTATAGAAGATTACACCAAATTTCACTCTTAGAATTCTTTCTGATGACAAAAATATTGACATTTCCATTCCCAGGCAGACCCCAAATGTGGCAGCTTCTAGCAGCAGCATGCTGGATGCTTCTTCTTGGACCTCTATATGGTTATCACAAGAAAGGAAGCATCACAAATCCTGAAGCTCGTATGAATATTGTAAGTCACTCATTAAGGAAAAACCTAAGATAAAGAATTACTAAGTTATCATCATTTCAGTTATAACTGGTGTGCGTATCTAGTTTTCAGCAATTCTAAATTGCCTAAATCTGTGCCTCCTCCCCTGTTCCTTACATAGCTAACTAACCTAAGGGTTGAAAGATCTGATTCAAGTTGGGGAGTAATATTCTTTCTCCTGGTGGTTGAGCTATCTATCATCTGCTGGTGCCTTTTACTAGAGAACATCAGCCCATACTGGTGATCTTTATAGAGTTTCCTTGAGTTCTTCCAAGGATACTCTATAGAGATCTGTAATTTGTGAGCTCTATCAGTGCACTCTTTTAGTTTAGTAAGCCAGAATTGGTTTTGGTTGTTTTTAACCAGATGTACCTTAACATGCAGAGGTGAAATGGAATGGAATGGAATAGAGTGATAGAGCGGAATAGTGCTGGGGGAAAACCCCACCCCCCCCACACACACAAAAAAAGACAAATAACCAATGTCTACTGTAGGCTTTATTCTAATGGGATACTTCATATTTCTGTATGTAATTGTATATTACTGATGTCTTTATCCACACCACTTTATGTTAGAACTTTAAGGATGGAACTATCAGTTTTAAAATTAGTGTCTCATATTTTTTGCTCTTTATAATGTATCTAGCAGGTACCCTTAATGACACTGCTGAACTCACAGGTTATGAATATATGTCCTTAATCCAAATTTTCCTTTCCTCCCATATTCACACACATTTTCTTGTCCTGGTCTAAATGCTTTTTGGCTCTTAATTATTCTATAATGATAATAAGAATAATGAACATTATAGAACACTTACTTTGTGCCAGGCACTGTTCTACATTCTTTATGTATGATCCTCACAACAAATTTGTGAAGAGTTACTATTATTATCTTTATTTTATAGTTACAGAAAAGTTAAGTAACTTTCCAAAAGTTTCATAGCTAATAAGAGGAAGCATTGGAATTCAGTGTCATATTGTTAGTTTCTAGAGTCTGAGCTTACAACTACTATTTAATGTGGCCCCATATGTATACACATGTGTGCCTGACATGGGATAATACCTAATTTTGTGTTAAGGGCTTGCTTTGGCGCTAAACTTACTTTGGCTTTAATTTTTGTCTTTATCGTTTCCTAGTTGTACAATCTCCGAGAGATTGTTAACCTTCTGAAAAATTAGTTTTCTCAACTCCAAAAAGGATATATAGTCAAACCTTATTTCTCGAAAGTCTCTCATCTTGAACAATTCATTTTTTGACCAAGTTGTTCACAGAAAAAAATGTCTGGGTTGTCCGATCAACTTTGATTAGCAACCTGACAACCCTTTCACGCAGATACCTGAGTATGACAAAAAGCACCTCTCAGGCAACAAAGGAGAGAATACTTTTGTTTCTGTCAAAATAGAAGATTAGCACAGTTTTAAAGCATAAAGAGGTGATCAAGAGTGCTAATGTTGCTAAGGATGTGAAAGAAGCGATGGTCACAGGCAATGTTGTTGATTTGGATAAACAAGAGAGAAGCAGTTAGCTAGTGACACATTTTGGAAGCAGTGACATATGAACAAGCAAAGATGATGCAAGACACCCTGGACAGACCACTCAAAGTGATTCCTTTAAGGCTAGTAGGGGCTGGTTCGATAAAGTCAAGAAAAGCAGTGTTTATTTATAGATTATACAGCACATTAGACATGTACTGTAGAAAAGAAATGTTAAAATAGGGAACCATTTAGGCATCTGGAACTGATTAATTCAATTTACATTTTTTAATGGAGAAAAATTATTCTGTTTTCGAGCAAATTGCTTCTAGAGCAGCCTTTCAGAATAAATTAAGTTTGAGAACCAAGGTGTCACCAAAATTCTATCTGAAAGGCTATTTATTGAGATTAATAAAATGGGGATACAAACCATCTTCTCTATAATAAATAGTTTTCATCCTTGTACTGTTGTGGTTGGTATATCTCTTGTTTACCCCTCTAGAGCCACTCTGTATTTTCTTACATTGTTTTCTCTAAGAGGCTGACCTATAAGAATAACTAGGACAACAAACTCCCTTGAACTTTAGTTTTCAGATCAGTTCAGACAATGGAAACCCTGCCCAGATCAGAAGGAAGGAGGAGAGTGCAATCAGATGACTTATCATCCTGGAGGTCACCTTAGGCAGGCTGTCTCTCTGCTAGAGGTCACCGCTCCTCTCAATGTGGCCCTCTGACTCTCTCATTCCGATTCTGGTAACCACTTCCTCTCATCTCTTTAAAGGTAATACGGAGGTAGCAGCTCACTCGTTACTAGTCTTAAGATATTACACTATCACCTGTGGTTTCCCTCATTAGATGACCACATAATTCTTTGTCCAAACATTTTGAGAATGAGCTTGTGTGTATTAATAATATCAGGCCAGGAGAACCCAGGAAGTATAGTCACCCAACCTTGCCTCACCCTTGCTTTGCATGCATCCATCCCTAGTGTAAAACTCTCCTCAAGTTATCCTGATTTTCCTGCTTTATTCTGTCTCAATACATTGGGGAAGAGTAGGCTGTGGCTGAAAGTACTATGTTGCAATGCAGGTATAAAAATCAAGAGATCACAACATAAATAGCTTTATATTTTTCCTCTTTCCAGAGCCAAATTATTTCTTACTGGGGTTATCCTTATGAAAATTATGATGTTGTGACAAAAGATGGCTATATCCTTGGAATTTACAGGATACCTCATGGGAGAGGATGTCCGAGAACAGGTACAGTTTATTTTGTTATGAAAGAAATAATGCCTAAAGTAGAGATTCCTCCGAGTGCTGATAGCAGCAAAGCAGTTTTTGTTCTAAACAGAGCTGAGTGCCTTCCCATCAAAAGATGAAAATCATCACCTTCTCGTCTACTACTCTTTCATTTGTATAACCCAGTGGTCTGCAAACTGCGACTCTCGAGCCACAGGCGGCTCTTTGGCCCCTTGACTGTGGCTCTTCCATAAAATAATACAGCCTGGGCAAGTCTATTTTGAAGAAGTGGCGTTACAAGTTTAAGTTTAAAAAATTTGGCTCTCGAAAAAAATTTCAATTGTTGTACTGTTGATATTTGGCTCTGTTGACTAATGAGTTTGCCAACCACTGGAAATTTGGAATTTTCCCAGAATTTTCCTATACATTGTTTATTAAGCCTTTTCTTCTTCGCTTTATCCACCTTCCTAGAAAGCACAAAAAGAAAAAAATTGGTCTTACTCTAGAGATAACTACTTTCCAGCTTAAATCTAGAAACTGAAAGGTCATTTTGATCCTTTCTTCTCTCTTACCTCCTGTATACAGCCAGTCACCAAGATCTACTAATTTTGCCTTCTAAATTTCTTTCTGATTTGCAAACTTCTCTCAACTTCAGTATCGCTCAAGTGTAGGTTAATACATCATTATCATCTATTGCTTCAACTAGTACAATAGCTTTCTAATTGATATTATATCAGTTGAATTAGTCCTCCACCCAAGTCAGTGGATTTTATTTTCTTAAGAAAACCTGACCCTATTAGTTCTATACTTGAACTTCATGCAAGAGCCATTTCTAGCTCCCTGCAGTATATGTTGATATCTGTAGAGAAAAGAGGGTCCATTTGGCAATAACTCTGTACTTTCTTTTCTGATTTTTAGCTCCATTTATTCTTTGGAGTGTTGTATAACAAGCTCCCTAATAATAGAAGAGTTAATTATTTAAAGAGACTATCTGAAGTGGAATAATATTAACTTAATAGAACCATCCACTCTGACAAATAACTCTATTTTTAAAAAACTATGTTTTTATTGAAATTTAGGAAGAGAGGAAAGGAGAGGGATAGAAAGATAGAAACATCAATCAGTGGTCTCCTGCATACCCCCTACTGAGGATTGATCCCACAACCTGGCAATGTGCCCTGACCAGGAATTAAACCTGTGACCTCTTTGTTCCTGGGTTGACATTCAACTGTTGAGCCACACTGGCCTGTTATATAACAAACTCCCTACCAATAGAAGTTTCCTTTATAAATACTTATGAGGACTTCCTTTCCACAAACTTATCTTCTGACCTCTGCCAGGTAGCTGCCAAAATGCATGAAATATTGGGTCGGCAACTAGGTAATTGCGGATTTTTTAAAGAAAATCAAAGACAATTTTTTCATGGAACTAAATAACTTTATTCTGTAATGTATTGCTCATTTTGATCAATGACCTTTTGCCATCTTTCAGGCAGCATCATAATCCCACGTTCAAAAAACTTCTGGTTTTTATTAGCAAAAAACTGAATCAGGTACGATTTGACATCATCATCATTATTGAAATTTTTACCATTCAAGGAGTTTTGTAAAGATCGAAACAAAAAGTAATCAGATGGTGCAAGGTCAGGACTATATGGTGGATGTGGCAAAACATCCCAACCAAGCTCCATTAATTTTTGCCGAGTGACCAAAGATGTGTGTGGCCTTGCATTGTCATGATGGAATACAACACCTTTTCGATTTGTCAATTCGGGCCGCTTTTCTTCAACTGCATTGTTTAATTTCATTAGTTGTTCAATGTAGACATCAGAATTGATCGTTCGGTTGGGTGGTAAGAGTTCAAAGTAGACAATTCCTTTGTAATCCCACCAAACTGATAACAAAACCTTCTTTTGATGAATATCAGCTTTTGATGTTGTTTGAGTTGGTTCACCTGGCCTGCTCCACGATCTTTTCCGCTTGATATTGTTGTAAACAACCCATTTTTCACAGCCAGTTATCAGTCGTTTTAAAAATGGATCATTTTCATTACGTTTCTTTAACAAATCGCAGCTGCTAATGCGTTGCATTAACTGTGATTCTTTCAGTTTGTGAGGAACCCATGTATCGAGTTTTTGAACATAGCCAAGTTGTTTTAAGTGATTTTCAATGCATGTTTGTGATACATGAAGCTTCTCAGCAATCTCACGTGTTGTACTGTGACAGTCCGAATTGATTATTGCTTTGATTAGGGCGTCATCAACTTCAACTGGACGACCAGAGCGTTTTTCATCTTTGAGTGAAAAATCACCAGAACGAAATTTGGCAAACCAATTTTGACACTGCCGTTCTTTTAAGGCTTCGTCACCATAAACAGCACATAACTTTTTATGAGCTTGCGATGCGTTTTTCCCTTTGCGGAAATAAAAAAGCAAAATATGACGAAAATGTTCCTTTTGATTTTCCATTTTTCAACGAACGCCAAACGAAAACTACAAAACAGATCAAAAAACTTTTTTTACTGATTAACAGCTGAAGAGCCAACTATCAAATAACAAAATGTGTTTTACATTTGTACTACGTCTGCAAACCTAAAAATTCAACTGAAGCCATATATGTGTGAAACCCGCAATTACTTAGTTGCCGACCCAATATAATAGAAAGCTGTCTCTATAATGAAAAGTTGCCTGAGGGCTCAGATCAGAAAGAGACTACAGACTGCTATTTGATGGTACTTAACTTTAAGTAGAATTTGGAACACCTCTTTCTGTTTTCTGAAAAGGTGCATAAATGGGTATAGTGCCTTGCTTCCAAGTGCTGAAGGCTCTCTGAGAGTCCATTCTAGCCTACCCAATCTCAGGAAACTAGTGCAGCACCAAACGTGACCTTCACAAAGCATTTATAAAAGACAAAATAATTCTGGTCACTTCTGTCTCCTCTCTAAGTTTTCAACACAATTTCCCAACTTCCTTCTTTTTCTTTTCTGTTTCTTAGTCAAATTGTTTCCATTCTACATTATGCATAGGGCTTTTATACCAAATTAACAATTTTGTATTGCATAACATTTCACTTAAGTTCTTGAATTTTGCTTTGTGAAAATGCAAATTAAATTAAGCTGTGTTTGTAAAATCTAGCATAGTGCCTGGTGTTCAACAAATGGCATTTTTATGGTTTTTGTTATTATTTTGAGAAAAAGTTAGTTTAGTTATCATATACTCCTTGAGGAATAAAATATTATTATTATGAATAATAATAGAGCAAATATTTATTGTGCCAGACAGTCTTATGTATTTTAATTCTAATTTAATTCTTGTGACTACACTATGAAATAATGTTTTATTATTATCCATTATGCAAATAAGTAAACTGAATTAACCATAAAGGTTAATACATACTAGAATAGATTTTGAACCAGGACAATCTGACTCCAGCTCCTACAAAACATTACAAATTATGATATAAAATCTAAATTTTACAAAGAGAAAAATAATACATAGAGAAGGTAAATAACTTATCCAAGTAAGTAGTTCAGAAAGGACTAGAACCTAGGTTTGCCTGGCACCATATTTCATCTCTTCTTGCATATACTTCAGGAAGGCAGAAAAGAGACTTTTCTTATAGACACTGAGGAAGTTGACGTGAAATTCTTGTTGCCTGTTTTGCAGATCCAAGGCCTGTTGTGTATTTGCAACATGGCTTAGTTGCATCTGCCAGTAACTGGATTTGCAACTTGCCCAACAACAGCTTGGCTTTCCTTCTAGCAGATACTGGTTATGATGTGTGGATGGGGAACAGCCGGGGGAATACCTGGTCCAGAAAACACTTGAAATTCTCACCAAAATCACCAGAATTCTGGGCCTTCAGGTAAGAATATTTATATATATAATAAAGTATGTATTTTGTCATTTATATACAAATGATCACCCTTTGATTTTTCCCTTTCTGTTCAAATGCATCCAATGGAATTCACAAGAAGAAAATGAATATTTCCACCTGTACCCAGACTCTCTTTACAGGCTCTGAAAAAAAAAATGCCCTTTTTATTGCATTTATGTTTGTTCTTAAAACACCACTTGCTGTACACATGTGTATGCAAAACATATACGCAAAAAAATCAAAACACAAAGGTCAGCTTTAGAAAGGTTTATTCCAAGTCTATGACTTTGTCCACATGGACCCCAAAAGAAGTTGATATAGTGCTCTTATTAAAGAGGAATTTGTTGAGAAATGGCACCAGAAATAAGGTTTTAGTTGAAAAGCTTGTGAACCAGACACTCAAATGTTTAGTCTCCAATAAGTGAAAGAACTCTGCCCTCCATCAGGCAGACCGTGCTAAAACCTGACCTTGGTCAGGTGTTGGTCATAGGATCAAACCCTGTATTTGCATAAGAGCTAAGAACCATGCCTTGAAGGTCATTAAAGCTGCTTTTCCCTTGGCCTCATTCCTGCCATATACCTGGAAGTGATTTTGCATTTCCTAATCCCACACCCAGTGCAGTCGTGTCATTGAACTATTGCAAATAACATGATGGTTTCCTACATGAGTGTTTTCCCAACATCACACCTGGAAAAAAGCACCTGAGGTGATTGATAAATACTCAGATTACCACCAGTCTTTCCTGCCTCAGTGTTTCTTGGCTGAGGTCTGCAAAAAACAGTTTGCTTTATTCTGGGTCATTGCTCTTTTTAAGGGAGTTTGGTAAACCTGCTGTAGAATTAAGTGAAAAATGACTGTCCTTTTAGGAAAAGCCTCTGTAGACCTTTGCAAATCAGATTTTTCTGATTCCAGTTTCTTAATGCAATCAAGGTGACATCCTCAAAAGTCACAGAGACCCATAATATCATATATTGACTCTAGTCTTATATATTTAAGACAAGCTAATGTCTGCAGTGAGTGTGTTCGGTTTTGCAGGCCTAACAATCAGATATGTTTTTCCAATGTTGTTTTCTTCTTTTGCAGTTTGGATGAAATGGCTAAATATGATCTTCCAGCCACGATTGATTTTATTGTAGAGAAAACTGGACAGGAGCGACTCTTCTATGTGGGCCACTCCCAAGGCACTACTATCGGTGTGTTTGGGGCAGGTGTGATCTGAGCATGTCAGAGGATCTTCTTCCATATTTATGGAAGGGGGCAGGATTTATTCCCTCTGTTTCTCTAGCTTGGGGACTTGAGTGGGAAACCATTTCCTCTGGCTGATTTTTGAAGATTAAATGAAACAAGGACCACAGCAGTGATTTCTTTTCCGCGTGGACTAAATCTACATAAATTCATAATTATGCCAGAAGAATTATTTGTCATTCTCTCATAATACATAACCATATTTATTATGAGATAACTATTCAATTTTGTGCACAACAAACCATTTCCAGACACTGGGTTAGAAATAAATATGGTGTACATCTTTCCTTTAAAGATCTCATAGTCTAGTGAAAACACCAAAAGGAAAGCAGAAAATTACAAATCCCAGTGATTATATGCCACAGTTAGTGTGCCTTTCACTTCCTAGGGTGCACTGGGCTAGGCTGGATGTGGATGGGGCCATGCCTCAAAGCCATGAGACACTTCACTCCTTTCACTGCTCCCCATTCAGCTACAGACCTCAACAATGCCAACAGCCTTTCCCCCTGTCTCTTTTCTATATCTTAATCCTAATTAGGTTTCTAGTATAAAGCAGGTCTTTATATGCCTGTTCTATACTACGCATTTGACATACATTCCCTCATTAAAAACTACAGACATGTAGTTTTTTTATCATCTAGATTTTACAAATGGCTGAATATAGAGATCCTTTCTAATGGTGATACTGCCAAATAATATGTATGTATTTTAACCGTCAAAAGAATCATTCTATGAGGATTCTATTTTCCACATTTACAGATTAAGAAAACTGAGACTTATACAGGGTAGATAACGTACCCAAGTCTTCTGGTGAATGGGAAGCCAAAATTATGGCTTAGTTTGTCTGATACTAAAGACTATGGTTGAGCAGGAATAGTCCGAGGAGATTACCTAGACATGCCCCACAAGGGATATTTGAACCCTCTCTGCAACTCTTGTCCTCTCCAGGGACAGAATTCACTTTATTCTGAATTAGCCAATTCCATTCTTGAGAAAGTTAGAAAATCCTTCTTATAAATGGTGTTTACTCTGAGTTATTTTGTATTTGTTTTGTTGTTATTGTTAATATAATATTGAATACTTCTGCTATCATTTAAAATAAATTAAGAATTGTTATAAACTAGTGTCTTCTTTTCTTTCAGCTTTCATAGCATTCTCTACAAATCCAGAGCTGGCTAAAAGGATTAAAATATTTTTTGCATTGGCTCCAGTCATTACAGTGAAATACACCCACAGTCCTATGAGAAAATTAACAAATCTTTCCAGAGAAGCAGTCAAGGTATGTGACTTCCCTGAGTTTAAACCTATAGAACAAAAACTAGCTCTGTTCCCACTGATTTCAATGGAAGGAAACCAAATAACATTTTACAAATCCCTGAAACTATATAATAGGTGTTGGCGGTATCCATGTAAGCTTACTGATTATGTACAATTTTAGTAATAGAGTTCAGGGAGCTCACTCTGATGCCATTCTACCCTATTATCTTCATCAATGTCTTCTCTCTCATGCATGTCATTCCTCAATTGCAGATAAAGCAAATGCTGAATTGAGTAATTGATTTGTTTCATTCTAGTAGATGAAATTTCTCCCTGGGTTTTGAAGGGCAGTATAGAATAGTGGTTGAGGTCATGAAGCCAGATGGGGTCTTTGACCCCAGATTTTTCTACTAGCTGACAGCTAACTAAACTTATCATTTATCAAGGAGAATTGGTCGATGTGTGTTGGTGAGTTTTCCTGTTGCATATTAATATGGCATTTCCCCTAGGAGACAAAAGGTAAGCACAGTGTATAATTGAAATCAGTGATTTCAATTAAAGCAAATAAAGCTGAGACAATTTTTATAGGAGCCAGGGATTTTTGGTTGGTAAAAAATATATAATAATAATAATAAGCAAATTAACCTATGGTGAGTCAATTCTATACTTACACAATTCAGAAGCACAATAGCAGAAAAACCACTAAGCAACATGGAAAATGCTCACATATCCCTCTTGTTCGATAGAGATTCAGCCTAGACTGGGCGCTATGCTGGGTAAACAGCTTGCTAATTTACTTTAGTATTTCCACACACTTAAGAGATATTTTGAGATGTGGGCTCTTCCTATTTTTCTCAATTTGTACAACTCTTCTTCAGCCTTTCACATCTTTTGATATACCAGCGGTGTAGTGCAGTTCAATTCAATTATGTGAAAATATATCTAGGAGCTACTATTTCAAAAGCATAGCATCAGAAAATGGCTATGTCTATAAAGATACATTTAGCTGATTGATAGGACTGGAAATTAGGGTGCATGGTAGAGTTGTGGTAGTCCTGACTAAGGGACAGTAGGGGACAGTACATGGAGAGCAGTTGTGTCATGTTGCGGAGTTTAGATTTTTGTTCTGTTGGTAATGGGAAGCCAATGAAGTATGTTAAGGGGAGAAGTGGCTTGATCAGTTTTGTAGTTTTAGACAGGTTGCCCTGAAAGAGCTTTAACTCCAATAGAGGAGTTACCACATGTGACCCACTAATTCCCAATTCTCTTTTCTCTAAATTGTAGCTTGCTTGACCCTTTGCTTTTTTACATATTATCTACAATAAGGATTATTAATATTGCCTCCATTTCTTAAAAGAAGAACTTGAGACTCAGAGAGGCTATGCATTCTGTCCCAAATCACCTAGCGAATGGATGACAGAACCAGAATTTGAATCCAGATCTGATCAGACCATCCATGGTCAGTGCTCTTTTTATATGTTTTTATTTTCCATAACAACCTGAAGAAGTCAGTCTTGGATCCTTATGCACCCAAACAGGCTATCTAATTCAGTATGTAGCTACTATGGAGCTCAGCTATTGAATCCAGTCTATGTTCTGCTTGGCCAGCATGGGGCCATGTGTGCAGGATAAAAGGGGAGAGGCTTTTTCTAATTCTCACTCAGTTACCAAAAGAAGAAGCATAATTCTATACCGTGACAAACATGCTTGGAATTACACAGACAAGTAAGCATGTTTACCACTCTCCAAGTGGATGACTTATGGCTAGTTAGTCTGCCTTATTACCCTCTCTTTTAGGTTAAAAGAGCAATTATTTATTCTTGGGTAAATGTGTGGTAGTTTAGCTGAGTCATTCATGCATGGACACAGAAGTGGAGTCAAGTCAGTGCTATTTCATTCTGTCTTTAGGAAAGTCAACTGTCAGAACAAAGAACAAGGACCCCTTATAATAGATATAACCTCTTTTTTTCAATCGTATTTTCATGGTTGATTACTCTCTGAATTGGCTGGGTTTTTGTTTGTTTTTTTTTTACATGAATTTTCTGCCAAGTGTGGATGACAAAGATAATGATAAATGAAAAACAAAAATGTCCACTGAGTAAAATCAGATCCTGCCTTCTACTTTAATTAACTTATTCCTGTGGAGCTCTATTTAGGTTATCACATTTGAAAACATAGATGTCAACATTCTATTAAAAGATATTACTGTTATTAAATTACCATGTAGACAGTTACATAGGAAGAGTTACATTTTGTTAAGTGGATTAACCTACTGATTAGGATAAAGTGAATAGAGGCCATGATAAATTAGATAATTTATGCAATGGTTAATTATTGTTTGCCAGACCTAAAAAAGTATAATTTCAATGAGTTTAACATATTGTAGCCTCTCTCTTCTTTCCTTATTCCTTCTCTCTCTCTCTCTCTCTCTCTCTCTCTCTCTCTCTCTCTCTCTCTCTCTCTCTCTCTCTCTCTCTCTCTCTCTGTCTCTCTCTCGGGCACAAAGGTTTATATTAAGTCATGACATATCATATACTTCATTAATATTCCATGAACTATAAGATATTCCATTGAATGAAGATTACCTTTAACTGCCTTTAACTGTATAAGGTAACTATTTTTTTAAGCTCAGAATTTAACAAATTATAACCAGTAGGAATTTACTAGATCTAGTTTACCAAAGATAGTATAGGACATTGTAGATATTCATGCAATAAAAGTAAATGCTAGTTATTTTTGTCCTTAGTCATAATTGCCAGTTAATGAAGGATTGCAGGAGAGAGAGATGACAAGTGTGTTTGTTTGTTTGTTTGTTTGTTTTGTTTTTTTACTATAAATAGATGTTTCCAAAAATTTTAAGAATAAAAAGAAAAATTTTCAGCCTTATATCTAGTTTATTATCCTAAGATTATAAAATTAGTTATTATTTTTAAAAAGGCAAGATTGTACTTATATGAAAGGAGTTTAGTTATTAATTTGTTTTAATGTCAAGGATTCTTAAAGTACAAAAGATAAATTAAACTTACTTGTAATATTGCTTGAAATTCCACTAGTAGAGGTTCATTTCTTTGGGTTCAGTTTTTGTCTCTAGAGTTCATTAAAAGATTCTGTAAGGAATAATTTTTTAAGTCTGTGTCAGTCACTAAATATAATAATAACATTGTATTTGGAATGTTTACTGGGTTCTAGAAAACGCACGAGGTGCCTTTTAAAAATGACCTATTATCTTCACAGCAGTCCTACTTAGGGCATATTAAGTTTCCATTTTATAGTTGAGAAATTTCAGGGTAATAATAAGTAAATACTTTCCTGAGGTATATGAGACAGAGTCCAAAATCAAACCAAAGTATCCCTTACTCCAAAGCCTTAACAGTGTTTGTTCTTTGGAGACTAGTTTCTTAGGGGGCTTTACAAAAACACTCCAAATAAAGGATCTTGGGAAAAGAGGTGAGTTGGGAGAACAAGGACAAAATTTAACAGAACTCCCAGTTTCACTGAGTTATACATACTAAGCAGATGTCATCTTCTGTCCAGTCCTTATCTGAATTACCACTCATTTTCCACTCTTAACATGCACATCTATGAAATTTGATTGTGTCTTAAATTGAACCTGCAGGTGTTATTTGGTGACAAGATGTTCTCTCCTCATACATTACTTGAACAATTCATTGCCACCAAAGTGTGCAACCGGAAGCTATTTCATCGTATTTGCAGCAACTTCCTATTTTCTTTTTGTGGATTTGATCCAAAAAACTTAAACATGGTACGTGTAAATACTTGGATTGGGAAAGAAATTGTTTTGTTAAATAGCAGTTAGGAGGTTTCATTCTAAATTGCATACAAACTACACTTAAGGTCTACTTTTTTGTCTCTGGAAATGTAATTACCGTATTTTTCGGACCATAAGACGCACTTTTTTCCCCCCAGAAGTGGGGGGAAAAAGTCCCTGAGTCTTATGGTCCAAATATAGCCTACACATATACTTTAAAAAAAAAGTTTTTTTACTTGCCCGGCTCTGTGTGGTCTCTGTGTGCTTGCCCGGCTCTAAAATGGTTCTAAATGCTGCTGTTTACTTTACAGGGTTGATTACATGTGTTTATGACTGTGATGTTGGGTTTTAATGCACATAAAATATTTTAGGACACTATTTGTTTCAGAATCTCTTTTTCTTCATTTCCCTTCTCTAAAAACTGGTGCGTCTTATGGTCCAGAGCGTCTTATGGTCCGAAAAATACGGTATGTTCATGGTTTCCCACCAAAGCTTAAGTCCACCTGCTTTTGTAGGAGGATTTGAGAATAAGATTTTTTGCTGAAAATTCTCATCAACTCTTGCTAGTGGCCAAAGCACCACATTGAAAAGTCCTTCACTCTGACTATGGCTATGGTTTTGAAATTTATCTTGCTGTGCTTGAACCCTATCTCTGACCTACTGAAGTAGAATTTTAGGAATCTCTATTTTTTAAATCAATTTCCTACTTTCATAAGTGATGAGGAAATGGCCATTTTGTGAGCCCCTTCTTTAACCCAAAGGGAAAAAGGGGTGGCTCTTCAATGAAAGCTATACATTCACTGTTTAAAGGATATTGAGAGGAATAGATGTTAGAGTTCTTGTCCAGGCCTTTCCAAATTAACTGAGATCCTTTCCTTTGTTTAGTTAACATTAGCTGACCCAGAGAGTGGGAAAGGGAAAGAGAGGAAGTTACGATTTATCCCCCAGCCAGGGCGGAGATATGTCTGAAACAAAGCTGAAGTTGATTTCCACCTATGTCACAATTTCTGCCCAGAGACTGTATCCCTCTGTCAGTGGAAAGCTCTGATTGACACTTTCCTTGCTTTCAAGCAAGACTAATGAAAGATTATTTATGCAAAACATGCCTTAGGCACTGCCTTTTCACATTCTTAGGGAATCTAAGAATGCTTCCTATCACTTAAGATGGGAGCATTTCATGTAGGTAAAGATGAGTAAAAAGACCTTTAAGCAAACTCAATAGAGATCATTTCAAAAGCACCCTCTCAACATGGTTTGAGAGTTTGCTAAAGAATGACTTCACAAAATAACACAGTTAAACATAAATTGGGGGGGGGGTCTTTATTGTATATTTATATAGTAAGAATGCCTTTTTCCCCTCAGTGTTGGGGACTGGACTATGGAATATCACAATGCCTACAAGAATGTTTATTTTAGTACAGTATAACCAGAAATACCTACATTGAGCATTTATAGAACTTGGAAAAATACACATGTCCAGAACTCATTCTTAGATATTTTAATATTGATTCTAGATTTGGGTAACTCATAAGTAGTTTTATTTATTTATTTTATTTTATTTTATTTTATTTTTAGCTCCAAGGTGTTTCTGATGTTAACTTTGGTGGAAAATAATTCTTTTTGTATACTAAAAAAATGCAACTGAAATTATAAAAAAAAATCAAGGGTTTTTAAAATTCAGAATAAATTTAAAAGTTAATGGAGGTTAAAATATTGGATGGATTATGCTCCACAAATTTTCAAAGAGCCCTGCAGAATATTACCACATTTTAAAGATCAGGTGACAAAGGCAACATTCAGATTTGCTCTCACTGTCTTACAATGAACAACTTTCTCAGAATGTCTTTTGGGACATGACATTGGGTGAAAAAGAAGGTCAATAACTTCTTGTCATCTTAAACCTGTCCTGGGTGAAACTGGTAAGAAAAGGTGTATTACCTTTTGTCCTTGACTAGTGTGGGATGCCCTCTGTGGGCTCTGAGACACTGCTCGGGACAGAAGAACAGAGCTAAGGGAAGGAAAAGTTCTAAAAGATGTGCTTCTTTGGTTAATGAGTCTTCAGAGGGTATGCTATATGTTTATGCCTAAAAGAAAAACAGAGAAAAGATATTCAAATTTACTTGTGGTGTGATTATATTATGAGCCTTTAAATGAGACATAATCTCTTTACAGAGTCGCTTGGATGTTTATTTGGCACAGAGTCCAGCAGGAACATCTGTTCAGAACATGCTACACTGGGCCCAGGTACGTGCTTCCTGTTTCTGATATGAGGCACACACATCTCTGCAAGATCCCCAAGGAGCGCTCCCTGAGAACTCCCTGCAGGGTTTTACAAGCATCTAGAATTAGCATAAACTCGTGCTGATTTCCTTTCCTCCCTTCTAGTCTTCACATCTTCAGTATCTGGAGTTTGGGCTTGGTTCCTAGACATATTCATTGAATTCTGATCCTGAGATTACTCCAAACTGCTTTTTCTAGGAAAACTTGTATTTCCTCCTCTTGGAAATCACCAGCTTTAATAGAACTTTGTATGTCATGATATAGACCATTTCACCCTCCATTTGGCATATAGGCCATTTCAGAGTGTGAAAATAAATAATTCAGAGAAAATTAAATATTATTTTAAAAATTAAAGATTAATGTTGTCTATTTTTACCCTCAGCTTTGTGTGTGTGTGTGTGTATTACTCTATTACTCAATATTTGACAAGCTCAAAATTAAGTCAAATTCAATTAGTACAGTTGCCTAACTCGAGTGTGTGTGTGTGTGTGTGTGTGTGTGTGTGTGTGTGTGAAAGAGAGAGAGAGAGAGAGAGAGAGAGAGAGAGAGAGAGAGAGAGAGAGAGAGAGAGAGAGAGAGAGAGAGAGAGAGAGAAGGTATTTCTCAAAGTTTTAATATAGCTGAGATCTGTAGGAATTTGCATTTTAAACTACACCCTGTTCTTTGCATTAAAATTTGGAATCACTGCTATAGATAGCCTGACACACTAGTTTAGAGTTTCTGAAATTCTTTGGAGTTCTACCTCCAGGAGATGAGATTAGCCTTCACAATCAAATGGGAGGGGGGGGGGGCCGGGGGGGGGGACGGACGCTTGAGTCATAGGGCCTCCTACTGGTGAGGAGACAGAGACTCTGATGGGCATGATCTTTCAGGCAATACAACTTCAATTTCATATTTATTGAGCACTTACTATGTGTTCTTCTGCTATTTATGTACATGGTTTCATTCAGGATCCAAATTCATTCTCATAACAATCTTTTAATAAAGACATTAATATCTCCATTCCACAAATGGAGGCTCCTCCAGTTGCAGGCTCCTTCCTGGCCTGGGCCCCTGGTCGGGGCTCATGCAAGAGGCAACCAATCAATGTGTTTCTCTCACATAGATATTTCTCTCTGTCTTTCCCTCTCTCCTCCACTCTCTGAATAGCCAATCCTTACCCATGCACAGCTGACTCTTCTTAAAATGTACCCTTCTCTGACAGGGAGTCCTCTTCAGGAAAGAAATAAAGGTGGGCAATAAAATATTTGGTCATAAGTTACATAGACAAAGATGCGGATGATGATAGTAGTATTAGTGAAAAGAGATTTGTTGGACATTTCTAAGTGCTACACATTTTTATGCATTGCCCTATTTAATCTTCACAACCTATAAGAAGAATGTTATTGTCATTTCTATTTCACAGGTGAGAAAATGAATTTAGAGAAAATTAATATCTTGTCCTGGTCCACCGATTCAATATTCCGTTAAGCCTGGATTCAAACCAGGTCTGTTTGATGCTAGAATCCAAGTTCCTAGCTAGTACAGTCTATTGCTTCCCATTGTTGAAAATTTGCAGAATTTCAATAACAAAAGGTTGCTGCCTAGGTCAATGTAAATCTGATGGAAATCATTTAAAACTAAAAATCAAGTTTAAATCAATGAGTGTGAAAAAAACACACAAAAACCCTTAGAGCCCTAGCCAATTTGGCTCAGTGGATAGAGCGTAGGCCTGTGAACCAGAGGGTCCTGGTTTGATTCTGGTCAAGAGCCTGTACCTCAGTTGCAGGATCCTCTTTGGCCCAGGCCCCTGGTCGGGGCTCACGCAGGGGGCAACCAATAGATGTGTTTCTCTCACATCAATATTTCTCTCTGTCTTTCCTTCTCTTCTTCCACTCTCTAATATCAATAGAAAAATATCCTTCGGTTAGGATAAATAAATAAATAAATAAATGAGTAAAAAACAAAAACAAAAAACAACGCAAAACCTTTAGAGTAGTCAGAGAATAACTTAATGAAGTGCTTGATGTAAAGGTAAAATGTATCTGTCTCTTCTAATCGGCATGGGTGGCAAATAACAGAAAAAGGAACCCCTAGGTATATGAATCTTTCTATCCAATATCTGATCTAAAATTAAAATGCAAACATAGGGATGCATGGCACCTCGGACATGCAGCCTGCTGCCACATTACTATAAGAGGGTAGGATGTTTGGCCCTGCGGACAAAAGGACACAGCCATGCCACACACCCCATAAGAAGCACTGAGAAGTTCTGTGAATAAACATTCCTGTCAATAGAAACAACTTTGTTTAAGAATAGTGAGCAACATTATAATACCCTAGTCCACCTGATAAGGATAATAAGGTTTAAAGTTATTTAAGAATAACGGCAGTCATCTTTTAATGTAGGAGTTAGATAGTGATGCCGTTAAAAATTATGTATAAAAATTGCTTAAGCGAAGATATTTAAGAATCATTCCATTCAGCATCTTTTTAAAAAAATGTCTATCTATAGCACTGTAACACTTAAAGGCTTGCTGTCTGAGGAAAATTATAGGGGGGAATATAAGCTTGATAATTAGTTTCATTAATTAATACTAGTATAAATTTGTATCATTTTTATTATTTGGCTTATTACTATTTATTGAGTTTTCTACAGTAAAGAGTGGAACATAATGTCAATCTTCTCTGTATATTTCTTGTTTACTGTCTCTAAATGTATGTTTTTTTATATCATTTTAATGTGTTTATTCTTTTTATTTTTGTTATAGGCAGTTAATTCTGGTCTGTTCCGGGCTTATGATTGGGGAAACCCTTATCAGAACATGATACACTTCCAACAGGTATGATAATAACAATCATCAGTTGCATACTGCAAATGAATTAATAAATATAGGGCAGGGTATAAGTAAGTTTACAGCTGTGAGTATGCAAAACAGCTTATTCTTCTATTATCAATATTCATCATATTATTTTCCTATGAACAACTATAAACCTACTTTTGTCCCACCCTGTATAGTATCCAGTCATTAAGCACTTACTAGGTCCCAAACTATGCCAGTTATTTTATGTAGATCAGATGTTACTTATTGGTTTCTTACCATGTGCTGTATCATTTCTTTTTTTTTAATCTTCATGATGACCTTGCAAAGCTGAGAGTAGATAAATTGTCAAAATTATTTAGTTAGTAAAGAACTAAAATATGATCCAGAGGTTTCTGGATCTAAAGTCCATACTTCTTCCACTATATTCTGAGAGAGAGAGAGAGAGAGAGAGAGAGAGAGAGAGAGAGAGAGAGAGAGAGAGAGAAGAAGAAGAAGAAGAAGAAGAAGAAGAAGAAGAAGAAGAAGAAGAAAGAATGCTTAGCATTTGAGATCATATTTTAAAGAGAGAAATAAAGATACATAATTTATGTTTCTAGAGCATATTCTCTGACTTCTTATCCATCTCTCATAAAATGAGCTAACACTATCTTATTAGTTCTTGGAAAGTCTTTTGCTATTCATTTTTTTAAAAACAATAAAGGATAATTAAAGATATACTAGACACAAATATTCCCCTCAGGAAGAAGCAGTACTATCGGCCAGAGAATGGTATGTCAAGATATTTCCTGACCTTATCTGTGAAAACGGGTAGGGTACATGCCTAGGTTGTGGGCTTGATCCCCAGTAGGAGGTGTTCAAGAGGCAGCAGATCAATTTCTCTCTCTCTCTCTCTCTCTCTCTCTCTCTCTCTCTCTCTCTCTCCTCACTTTCTCTCTCTCTAAAACATAATAATATTAAAATAAAATAATTTTAAAAAGATACAAGGGTTTTACAAATCAGGGCTGAGGAAATTTGGAAACTTTTTGACTAGCCAGTATAAAGTGCCACCATATTAACTACAACAGTACAAATGCATAACTTAACTGATGTGAAAAATCCAACTGCAAACCCAAAGAAAAAGGCAATATTTTTCTTAATAACTCTGGCAAAACGTTCCAGAGAAAACTAAGGCCCTGCTTTAGTCAGTCATCCATATACATAAAAGCCTAAGCAACTTTTCTACTGTTCGACCAGTAGCTATAACACACACAGACGCTCTAGTCTAACCAGTAGGTTAGCTTGCTGTTGGGGTCCGACTGATGGGTACTGGGTGAGATGGGCCGGACATACCCTGGAGCCCTCCTGCATTCCCCCCTGGGCCCAATCATGCACTGGTGGGGTCCCTTGGCCTGGCCTGCACCCTCTCACAATCCTGGACCCCGTGGGGGATGTTGGAGAGCCACAGGCCAGACCAAAGGACTCCCCCCCCCCCCAATGTATAAATCTGTGCACTGGGCCTCTAGTCTCATATAATCATTGTGGCCAGAAGAATGAAGAATGAATTGGCCAGGCCTGATCACCTGGACTACCCTGGAACTGGGGGAGTGGAATTTGTCAAATCAGCATGAGAGTGGTGTTACCAGAAAGAAGAGGGCAGGGAAAACTTGCCAGGCCCGAGTTTTCTGTAGCAGGCTGGCTTTTTAACATCGTGTTTCAATGCTACCTGAAGAGGCTGCTCAAATGTCAATAATTCCCTGGGCCTAGACTTCTGCATAGGTGGAGGGCTATTTATATTTGTCCTATTTTATCCCATCCAAAATTTTGTTTAAAAGGACACATTCCCAGTCCAAGTGCTATTAGAAAGATGGCCTTCCAAAGAAATAAAGTGTCCTTTTTCTCTAGGATCCTTTTCTATATCCCCAAAAGTGCAAATCAAAAATATAATGGTTGTCTTTTTAAAGTTACAATTCATATTTTTGCACTAAAGTGTTTTCAAGTAAATTTAACATTTTAATGTTTACATATCATTAAGTGTATCCTAACCACATTTTTGACATTTCAAGTACATGCTTAAAAACTGATTTTGTTATTTTTCTAATGTGATTTTTTGTGAAAACTCTTCTTTTTTCTCTCCCTCTCTTTAATTGCATTTAGTTGACACCTCCCTTATACAACGTTACTAAGATGGAAGTGCCAACAGCAATATGGAGTGGTGGACATGACCGTGTGGCTGATCCCAGGGACGTTGAAAATGTACTCCCAAACATTACCAGTCTTATTTATTACAAATTTATTCCACACTACAATCATGTGGATTTTTACCTTGGACAGGATGCACCCCAGGAAATTTACCAAGACCTGATTAGAATGATGGAGGACTATTTCTAAAACCAAACACCTTTTTCTAAGCAAGCAAGTGTTCATGATAATAATGTGGCACACAGATGCAAAGGTATCCCCTCCAATGATCTTTACCTCCTCATGTCCATGCATTTGTGTAGCTCACCTTCCTTAAGTTAGGGAGGCACCTGAGACCTCCTAAAATTGGCAAAGGTGATGGGATGGAACACTCTTGATTAGGTTACGTTTATGGCAAAGGTGCTGGGATGTCACTCTCTGATTACTTTATATTCTGTAAGAAGCCATCTTAGCAGACTGGAGCAAGAAATTCTCCTTGTTGGCCTGATGAAGTAAGCAGATATGTTGAGGAAACCCGCATGGAAAGAAACTGTGTCTGGCTTCTAGGATCTGCAGGTGACCATCAGCTAATAACTTGCAAAGAGTCAGGATTCTCAGTCATAAGACTCTAAGGCAGTAGTAGGCAAACTGCGGCTCACGAGCTACATGCTTCTAGTGAGCCACAGTTTGCTGCTCTGTTAACTAATGAGTTTGCCGACCACTCCTAAGGGAATAAGTTCTGTCTAAAACTCGAATGAGCTTGGGAGCCCATTCTTTCCCAGGAAAGCCAGCCCTTGGATTGCAGCCTGGGAAGACCTTGAGCAGAGCACCTAGCTATGCCATGCCCTGAGTACTGACTCACAGAAACAGTGAGGTAATAAACATATATTGTTCTGAATTGCGATATTGGTGGGTATTTGTTACCAGCAATAGTAAACTACTACTATTGTTAATAATACTAAAGTATCATTTTTGTTACCATTATTGTTTTGTCTCTTCGATTAGCAGCTTGAGAGACCCTGCCCTTATTTCTCTTTGTCTTATTTCCTTTGGCCTGAGGAACTTTGAACATTGCTCGTTTTGCAGGTCTGCTGATGATGGACTTTCTCAGTGTTTTTTCTGAAAATAAAACTTTTATTTTGCCTTAATTTCTTCATTTTTTATTGTAGTTAAGACATTTAGCATGAGATTGTCTTTTGTTTTTTTATAATAGCTATCCTAATAGGTATGAGGTCATAGCTTATAGTGATTTGCATTAGCATTGGTTGATTAGCATTTCCCTGATGATTAGTGATGATTGAAAGAAGACAAACAACCTGGCCAGCATGGCTCAGTGGTTGAGTATTGACCTATGAACCAGGAGGTTATGGTTCCATTCCAGATCAGGGCACAGTTCCTGGTTGTAGGGTCAATCCCCAATTGTGGGGGGGTGGGAGGGACATGAGGTGGGGTGCAGGAGGCAGCCAATCAATGATTCTCTCTCACCATTTATGTTTTATTATTTTGCCTTCATTTCTGAAAGACATTTTTTCTGACAATAGACTTTTAGATTGTCCTTTTTCACAATTAGTTGTTATTTTTTCAGTGCTTTAAAATTGTTCATTGGTGTTTGGAATGCATAGTTTCTAATAAGTATGCAACACCATATAGGTTTCTTTGTACTTAATGTACCATTTTTGTTTCTAAATATACTTTTTTTGCCAATAATTTTCAGCAATTTGATTTGGGTAAACTTTGTTGTGCTTTCAAGTGTATTTTACTTGGAATTATAGAAGCTTCTTACATCTGTGCATTTATAGCTTTCATCAAATTTGGAAAAAATTTGTCCATGATTTTTTCCCAATATCTTCTGTGCTTTACTTTTTCTGGGTCTTATTACATGTATGTTAGAACACTTGCCCTTGACTCACAAGTCACGGAAGGTGGGTTGCTCCTCAGCATTTTCTCTGTCTGCATTGAGACAGATTCTGTCCCAATGGCTTCACATTCATGAATCTTTTCCTTTGCACTACTGTCTAATCTGCTGTAACTATATTTGGTGCATTTTTTAAAATTTGCATACTGTATTTTTCATCTCTAGAAATTCCACTTAGGTCTTTCTTTATGTTTTCTGTACCTTTCTTCCTTACTTTCATGGTGTTTTTTTTTTGTGTTTTTTTTTAACATCATACATGTATTTTAATACCTGTTTTAACATACTTTCTGTTTATTTTCATTTTCTCTGTCATTTGTCTATTTGTTCTATAGATTGTCTTTCTTCTGTTAAGAGTTTTATTTTCCTGCTTCAATTCCATACTTAAAATTTTTTATAGGGTGTCAGACTTTGAATTTTGCATTGCTGAGGGCAGACTTTATTTTATTCCTTTAAATAGGGTTGGCAGTGTTGTGGCAGTCAGTTCATTTACTTGAAGCTAAATTTTATTATTTTGAGCTCTTTCAATTTCCTAAGGGTGGATCTAGTAACTCTGCCAAGGAAGTTTAGCTTTACCGCTGAAGCATGTCCTTTCTGAAGTCTCTATCAAATTCTCATGTGTTTAGAAATAAGGTTCATGGGAACTCAAATTAATCCCTGTGAATACTCTAGAAATTGTTTTATTTACAGTTCCTTGACAGTTATTTTCCTTTGAAAGTTTTATTTTGTCAACTTTTGTGGAAGTTCATCTTTTGCATCAGCAGATTATTATTTAATCAAAGCTTCAGAGGGATACATCTCCATATTTCAAAAGCCCTTTCCCTTGACTATTTCTTTTTCATTATTATTCTGGCCCCACAAATTTTATTGTCCTTACTAGAGGCCCAGTGCATGAAATTTGTGCACTTGGGAGTGGGGGTCCCTCAGCCCATCCCGCGCCCTCTCAACTTTGGGGGGATGTCCAACTGATGGCTTAGGCCCGCTTCCCAAGGGAAGCGGGCCTAAGCCAGCAGTAGCTAAGGAGGCGGGAGAGGCTCTTACTACTGCTGCTGCTGCATTTACCAGCTTTGTGCTCAGCTCAGGGCTTCTGGCTGAGTGGTGCTTCCCCTGTGAGAGTGTACTGACCACCAGAGGGCAGCTCCTGTGTTGAATATCTGCCCCCTGGTGGTCAGTGAATGTCATAGCAACTGGTCATTCCACCATTCAATCAATTTGCATATTAGCCTTTTATTATATAGGATTCTCCCTGAAGTCAAGTTTCTATCTCCTTAAGTCAACTAGCCCACTGAGCTTTTCTTGGGTTCCCCAACCTTTGCTGCAATGTAGAAATTGCTGGTAGGCAGAAAGCTAAGGTTTTCATAGGGTTCACCTTACCTGTTTTCATCACAGTGCTGCCCGCTTGCCAATATCTGACAACTGTTGTTTATTACTTTGGTTCCAATTTTCTAATTTTTATGGTAGGATGATAACTCCAGAACCTGTTATTCTCTCATGACTAAAAGCAAAAGTCATTATTCTTTTGAAAAATTATTATTATTCTGCTAATATGTAACCAGTATAACTTCACATAAAGAAGGTAATTGTAAAAATATGAAATAAAAATAATATATAATTTAAAATTTTTAAGTTTTCTCTGTTCCATCTAAAATTGTCTATCTCACTACCAGTATTTGTAGGAAACTCTAATAGAATCCAACCCTCTGAATTTAGATATAAGTAAGCACAGTCAAGGAGAAGTGACCTGTCCAAGGTGTACAAGTGTACAAATTAGTAAGATAATATATGAACTATATGTTCAGAATGCTGATCAAATTTAGTATTTATAGGACATTACTTTTTCTCTGCAAAAGCTTTACTGCTTCCTTTCTAATGTCTTTAATTACAAGCATTTGTATTGATCCATCATTCCTATTACTTTTTTAAATGGTTTTTCACCATGAAATACCACCATACCAGAATTTATGATAACGCTCTGCTTTTTATTTTATTCCATCAAACCTTAACCCCCATCTGTCTTTCAAAGTTTCCCATACTCTGACTTCACCCACTTTTCCAGTTACATTTTGCCTCTGCTTCCTTAGCTAGATGCAAATGTTTTATTCAAAAAATATTTGTACACTTAAGTCTTCCTGCACATCTTTCTCATTCTCATGGACAGGATTTGTCCACAAAGTTTGCCTTAAACTGAATGAAAATATAATTATAATAAATCATAACATTGCATTTCTTATAAAAAAGCAAATAGGATTTTCTTATTTTTATTGCTATATCTTAAATTACTTTTAAAATTTTATTAATATTCAGTAAGAATCTCAAGGTATATCACCATCACTTTAATCAATTATATCAATTTAATATTTTTCATTTCATTTTGTATTATATGTTCAGGATTCTGAACACTGGCAGCTTCTAGAAGGAAGAAAACTTTCACATAGGATCATTTTTCAGTTTAACCATACTAGTAAGCCTACTTTGTGCAGGACTTGGTGTGTCAGGCGTCTCCTTAGTGATGGGCAGTTTTTGTGGTCTCTGCCAAAGAAATTTCTGAACAACTTCTCAAAGTAACAGGTTATTAGTTTTAAAAAATTTACCCTGCATTTTTTATGTTAGAAACTAGAGATAAGGAAGTAAAGAAGAAAACCATGGTTCTTACCCTTATGACTTATATATTGAGTTTAAAATATGAAGGGAAATTTCAACCCAGCGAGGATGGTAATTAAAATAATGAACATTTATTATGCACTTATTAACTTATTTAGCTTTTATTAAAGATATGGTCATTCATTCCTGTCCATATCTTTGTGATGCAAGTACTATGCTTATCTATTTCGTAGAAGACCACTGATGCTTAGAAAATTCAAATATTTTATTTTCATAGCTCATGTCAAGTATTTAAGAATTTTAGGCAAATCTGGTCTTGAGTCTAAATCCAAATCCTAGGCTCTAAAACTTTCTTGTTTTGTATCCCAATAGTAAGTCCAGGATAGCTCATCTAGTCAAAAGTACCTGCTTATTAGAGGACTCATGTGGCTCTATACAGAGGACAAGACCAAAATTTAATACAGAGTTGAGGTAAATAAAGTAATGAAAACAGAATCTATGTCATCAGAGCTATAGAGAGGGAGTGACTAAGTCAATAGCAGGGGTAGGCAATTCCAGCAGGGGTATATATAAATATGTAAAGCAGACCACCCAAGTGCTGAGTCAAAACCAGGTTGACAGCTTGGCTGGTATTCAACTGACAGATCTGTTGACAAAGAGCATTGTGATGGCTTTTGCATAGCTACACCACTTCAAGGTAGCAGATGAGTCATCCCTTTGACCTTTCCCAATGTAATTTCTCTCAATTAAGTGTTCCCTGCCACATTGGAAAATTACCCAAGCTTTAGCAGAATCTTCTCTTCTATATTAAATAGAATTCGAAATTTTGAAAAGTCACTATCCTCTGTAAGCAATGGCTTTTCCTTTAATTTCATGCCTGAAATTTCTTACATGAGGCTGAGTATGTTCACATTTTTTGGTTCCATTAACCTAGACCTCTTAGCGATGGTTCCAAGAATCCTGCTCACTAATATGGTGTCAGATGGATATATTGGTTTAGTGAAATGAACCAGTTCTCTCTTAACCCTTCCTTCTGAGAATCTCGTGGGTACTGCTAATATTTATCAAGATCATCCATAACAAAAAGCCACTCTCATTTCTGTGGCATATCATGTTCATTTCAAAGTGCTTTCACAGGCTTCATGACCTTTCCTCTTAGGGACTGAAAGGTAAAATGGAATCGCTATGGATTGAATGCTCATCTTAAGGCTAAACAATGGACGTTCCAGAGTCACCTCCACTAATTATTAGCTGTGTGCCCCTAGGAATGTTCTTTATCATTAATTCTACAAAATAGAGTCATTCATTTCTGCCTACCTCATATGCTGTCAAGAAGACCAAAGATGTTCATGAAGCACATTTGTGTAGCATAGTACTCAAACATTGGCCTTGAAGTCCAAATGGTTTAGGTTTGGTTTCTAGCTCCATTATAATATTTATATTCATAGACCAGTTAATTCCTCTAATCCACATTTCCCTACCTGTAAAGTGGAGATAACATTAATAACTCTATTATCTGATTTTCAAATGAACTTGGGTGAGAGGCCAACTGTCTCAATATATCTGTCTCATTTAACAGTTTTGCATTCAAAATGCTGTGAGTGGTTAAGAAGGCCTACAAACCAGGCTCTGCCTACCTCTTCAAGCTCATCACTCCCTGGCTCCCTATCTTCCTTTCATTCTCTTCAGTAAACCTAGCTCCTTTGCCACCTGAACTATTCCCCTGCCTGTAATGTCTGTCAGATTTTACAGATCGCAGCCAAAAATTCATTTCCTCATAGAAGACTTCTCTGTCTACCCTGATGAGGGTGCACTTTATATCAGTGGATTCAACATAATTATTGTGAGTAAGCAGCTGTAGAGTGATTGAACCCACAATCACCCAGACACAAAATCAGTGATTAAAAAATAGTTGTTACGTGGCTGTGAGTGTCCTCTCTGTCCTCCAAGCACTTGATTGGGTCTTGTGGAAATGGGGTGCTTTTAATATACAATTAATACATATTTGGTAAGACTCATTGGTCAAGAATTTCTTGACATCAATAAGGAGCCATTGGTCTGGAGGGGAGGGAACTGAATGAGATCTGAGCCTCAGCAGGGGAAGGCTGGCTGGCAGGGCACCAAACAGCTTCACAGGGAGGCACCTTTTAGGACATACCAGACTAGCATATCCCGATATTTAATCTTGTAAATGTGTCGGAAATGTCTGCACTTACACATGCTGAGTCACATAACTGAAATTTATAAGAGTTACAAAGCATAAATCAATAACATGTTTATAATTTACATTAAAAACTCTAGCTGTCAAGAAAACTGCATCAAGTTTCATGCCAAAATAATGGATTCTTCACCTTTAAAACACATAGGAAGTACTAGTATTAAAATGTTGTTTGTTGTACAAAGATTAAAAAAACAGAGGAAGTATATGATTTTGACAGAAACCATTACCTACACAATCACTCCAGTGCATAAGAAAATAACAATCTGAGTGCTTTACATTTCAGTTTCACAGTAGCTTAATAAAATGGTACCAGTTGTATCCTTTCTTTATAGACCAGGAAACTAAAGTTTGGAAATAACTGGGCAACTTGCCTCAAAATAACAATTCTCTAATCTCTGAAATCTTGACTTTAGATACTAAGCTCTTAATCTGTATGCTATAATATTGTATCTATTATGATCCAGAACACAAAGAGTAATAAGGTTCCTGCCCAAATAGAACTTACAGACTAATGAAAAAGGCAGACACACTACAGCTGCTTCCTCACAGAGTTAAATCTTTAACTGTAATCATGCCAAATGCACCGATATGAAGTGCACCCTCCTCAGGGTGGACAGTCTTCTCTGAGGAAATGAATTTTTGGCTGAGATCTGTAAAATCTGACAGACATTACAGGCAGGGGAATAGCTCAGGTGACAAAGGAGCTAGGCTTATTGAAGAGAATGAAAGGAAGATAGGGAGCCAAGGAGTGATGAGCTTGAAGAGGTAGGCAGAGCCTGATTTGTAGGCCTCCCTAACCACTCACAGCATTTTGAATGCAAAACCGTTAAAGAGTTTGTCTCAAGAGTGCTTAAAACTGAATTAGGTCAGATATGTGATTAAAAACAATAATAATATGTGCCTTGTTGAGAATAAATGAGATGGGTACAGGAAATCTAGTTCAAAGGTTGCTGTGGTCCAGCTAGAGACGAAGGCAGTTTAGGTGATTTGGAACCACAAAGCCAGCCCTGGATGTTTTCTCAGTTCTACCTTAAGGACTCAGTCCTCTTAGAGACAAGTGACGAATTTGTACTGATACCCAGGTCTCAAAAAAGTCGCTATGTTAATTATACAACACGTAGGTAACCATTGTTGCTTATTCAACCAGTACTTAGATCCAGGAAGCTGTCAAACTTGTAAATTATTTTAAATGCTAACATAATCATTTTGGTGACATTTTTCTCTATCGGAAAATTTTAAATCATTAAGGAAAACTTTTAAATGACAGTTGGCATTTGTTGTTGGAGTAGAATCAATATAATAAGCTTTTCTTCTAGATTTGCTGACCTTGAGAGCATTGATGGATACTGTGCTTTTGTTAAAGGATTGTAGCTAAATAGTTGTACCCCTGTGTTTTTTGCTAGGTAGATATACAGCGAGCTCAACTGAGGAACAGAGACTAAGCACTTTCAAAGACATGTTTGATGATTCAGGTAGTAGGAAGTTTGGTAGGCAGAGATATTTAATTCATGTCAAATGTATGACATAAAGTATGTCTTTGAGGTGAGTACTATATGAAGAAATAAAGAATTTGGTTGAAGAAAGGTTTTAGGGGAAAAAATCAAGCATAAGACTGATAGTATAGCCATTAGTCAAATGTAGCAATCAAGCACTTACAATGTGATTAGTCCTAATGAATATGCTGTAAGTATATAATCAACCCATTTTAAAGACTTAGTACAAAAAAAGAAAATTCTAACAATAATAGTACTGATTATATGTTGAAATGATAGCATTTGCATTTGAATTTATTAGTTTAAGTGAAATATAATAAAAATTGATTTTACTTGTTTATACTTTTTAAAATGTGGCATTAAGTAAATTATATATGTAGTTTACATTACATTTTTATTGGACAGAACTGATATAGAGAATCAAGAGGAAGGTTATTATTGCCTAAGAAATTTGTGGGTTTTTTTTTTAATAGAAAAACTTGAATAATTTTTCATTTATAAATTTTGTTTTAATGTATGAAGAAATAAGAGAATATAGAGTGTATAGAAGATCAGGTTGTGCCATAGTAGTCAAGTTTGAAGATAATTAGAAGGCTGAACAGTGGAAAAACAATTATTAAGTAGTAATTTTTGGTATTGTATTATTGTACAATGCAATGTAAGAATAATGGTAGGCCTATTCCAATGAAATACAAAAACAAAATAAGATTGATTTTTCCTATGAGATTACTTTTCTCTATTAAATTTACTATAAAAAAGTGTTAAGAAATGTCCTTTGAAACATACAGAAGAGCAAATGTCCATTAGAATTTATGACCAAGCTGGTAACAAACATTATTACTATTCTTCAGCAATTAAGCAATTACTCTATTTTAGAGTTGTTCATTCATTTGTTTATTAATTCACTCAGCAAACAGTTTTAATATTGATAAAGAGAGAGATAAAATCAAGATAATGTGATACTATAATAGAAAAAAGCCATCTACCCATTTTCAGGCATGCTGGGAAGATTTGAAGGCGATTTAACAGTAGCTTAACAATGCAGACAATTAACTCTGGAAAGAAACAGGAGCATATATCAAAACAGACAATGTTACCTCTTTACACATTCCAGTCACCAGTACTGACCTTTGCAAATTGATAAGACTGTATCTCACATTAGATCCAACATGAATTTCTGGCTGTGTTCTGCGTGTGGTTTTTCAAAAAAGAATCTCTATTTGGATATACCTCTTACAGGAATTCAAATACAAAACGAGCGCAAGCAAATACCAATCCACCCATTAAGTAAGCTGTTAGGCAGGTAAACCCGGCTTGGAGGAATGGATGGTATCAGTTTCCTCCCATTGGATGGTATGGTCTCTCCTCTTCATTCTCACAAACCTTTGACCTTTTCCACTGGTCATGTCCTGATCCTGCCACTCCGGGTTGTGGATGTCATCACAAGCAATCACCAGCACTCTTGGCAATAACTTCTCTTTAAATGTAAGTGATCTTTCTTTTGAGCATTTTGGTTTGGGGTGGATACATATTCAATGAGTTTATTACGGCCTCTTTTAAAAAAGCTTCGATATTTCACTCATTTATAATGGATAGAAATTTTTATTTGTCATTTCTCTCTTCTACTTCTTTATCCTAGCTGTATTGTGTTTGAAGATGGGGCTAGTATAGTGGAGCTGAAACTGAGATGCATTGATACCAACCCTAAGAGAACATGCTCCACTCCAACAGGTTATCTAAAAAACAAGACTGTTTCTTATAGATATCATGAACATCGACAACTTTGCTTAATGGGTAAAGAAATAAAAATTTGAAATATAATCTTAAGTGCTTTTCCTAATGCCAAAATGTGCTAATCAATCATTTTACATACACACACACACACACACACACTTATGGCTTTATTGCATCCCTGTTTGAATTTTAGGATGCATGAAGAATTAGGTAAATTGTCTTGTTAGCTGGCAACAAATTCTGTGGTCCTGTTCATACAGTCTTTTCCTCCAAGGCAAAATTTGTCTCAATTTGTAAGTTTTCAAATTATTCTTTTTTCCAAATAATTAGTTTCTATTTTGTTGGTTATGCTTAATTTTTTTTAAAAAAACTTTGTTGTGTGCAAGGGAAAATTATGCCCCCTTTGAAACAATCATGTGTTAATAAAAGGCAGTCTTTGGGGGAAAAGAAGCAAACAAACAAACAAAAAGATAATACTTAATAACAAATATATTTTGAATTAGAACATTGGAAGGAAAATAAAAACTATTTTCCCAGATAGATACCAACTTTAAGGAACTACATTCAATCATGTATTTTCAGCAACCTTACTAATTAAATGGGCAGCCATCATTAAACAATTGCTGAGGCTGTAATATGATCCTTGGGTCAAGATATCAGAAATATTCAATACCATAGGACTTCTGAAAGGCTGCCCCTTAATCTACATTTTGGCCAACATTCCTTTCCTGCTCTAATACCATTTAGCTTTATGAAAAACAAATAACAAAAACAAACCAAACAAACAAACAAACCACACAAACACACACAAGAAAAAAACCTGGGGAATTTGAGCTTCTAGAGCGTAGGAGCCATCATTTAATATTTCACAGAGCCAAGGAAGAAGTTTCAATTTATTTTATTTTAATTCATTTCAATATCTTAAATAATTACTAAAAAAGTAGCAAGCTTACTTTGTAAGAATGATGAAAATATTGTGGGAAAATTAGCTTTATTTATTTTATAAGGCCTTATATCTGTCAAATAAAAGAATTGGAAGAATTCTCCAGATTATTTAAATAATCCTCAGATAATCTTCAGAGTTGAGGAAGGAATATAAGGAGGCAATAGTGTTGAAATTCTTCTGAGATTTAAGCTGATCTACAATTTGTAAAAACCTGAGCAGTTTAACTATGTTCATGCTATTTCCACATAAAGTCATAGCAACAAATCAACATTAATAATAATAATAATGATAATGATAATGTGCTTCCTAGAACTATCCAAAGAATCCATTGAAGTTTCGTTGGAAAGGGTCATTTTAGAGTCATAACCCATGAGAGATTCCAGACAAGTCTACCCATTTCTGCCATTTTATTGTCCACAATGGCAAAACATGGTTAAGTCTTTCATCAAATACTGAATATGGCTGGTAAATAATCTTCCCACTTAGTCCATAATCTTTCATACCACATTTGTTTAAATGGCATAAAATTTCTTACATAATGGAACATATCTTAGGGTTTGGACAAATATTAATAATATCTTTGTTTTTGAAAGTATTTGAGAATGAGTCCAAACTAATAAAATTAAAACTCCTATGTCATGCTCAGTAGCAACTTAAGCCTTCTTCCTGTTGGAAAATGAACAATGTTTAGTGATTGTGTGGACTCTACAGACATGCAAAGTGAAGTAAAAAATTAAATCACATACCCCTTCATTATCTAATATTTCAGGTGGGGCATAAAGTTCATTTGTCTTTATTCTCCTCAGGTCCCCAACTCTATCTGTTTAAGGCAGAGTCTAACTGGTTTGTAAGTTAGCTCCCACAATGGTCACTGCCAATGTTGGCAACAGGTTGAATCCCTTTAGCAATCTGGGTTTGTTTTCTCCGCCACACTGCTAGTTCCAAACTTTTCCTAGACTCAAGAGTTGAGAGTCAGGATGGCCTTACCTTGTTGGTTCAGGTACAATCAATCCCATCCCTGTACACTAGATCAGCTATTTCAACTTTTTCATCTCATGGCACTCATAAACTAATTACTAAAATTCTGCAACACAGCCAGAAATATATTTTTACCAATCTGACAAAAAAAATAAGTATAATTTTTATTTATTTACAAAAAATGTACTAGTAATAACCTGCTCTTTCTGCTTCAAAGTGACTAAAAAATCAGGTGCCTATGCATGTATACTATATGGATCTCTAGTACCAAGAATTAACCAATCAAAGACAATCTTATTATGTGACGTGACCAATAAGATGCAACTCTGTTATATGACTTAAATATTTATGGTTCAAGATAGGGCATTCATAGCAGATGGCTATTGTTGTATACATGGCTGTTGTCTTTTTTTAATTTGACAATGTGAGAAAAGTGAGGTCAGTGTTCTGACTGACTAGTGAGGTATTGTGTATTTTAAAAATTCTTGAGGTATATAAGTTGAAAATCGCTGCACTAGATGGTTGACACTAGTACTGTCACATACAGTTGACCCTTGAACAACAAGGGAGTTAGGGGTGATGAACCCTTACCTATTCAAAAATCTACCACTTGACTCCCCAAAAACTTAACTACTAATAGCCTACTGATGACAGAAAGCCTTACCGGTAACATTAGTACATAGTTTGAACATTAGAGGCATTACATAATATATTTTTACTATAAAGTAAGCTAGATAAAAGAAAATGTTATAAAGAAAGAAAATGCATTTATTATACAATATTTATTGAAAAATATCCACATATAGGTGGATCCACCCAATTCAAACCCATGTTGTTCACGGGTCAACTATACATTGAGTCATTTGATCCTCACAGTAATGTTGTGGGGTTGAGAAGGTAGTTATTATTATGTCTGATTTTATGCACTAGGATCCTGAATACATTTTACTTCCCCATACATTTGACTCATTGTTTTCAAAATGTTGCTGAACCCTCCCAACAGCGATAGACACTCAATGGAAACATGAGGATTCAGTCAAACTGGTTATTTGGCATAATATAGACCATTATTTCCCAATCCACAAGTGCATTGTGGCATTTGGTGAGTTGGGAAGACGCCCTGGGTGTGTATCATAGTCCAAAGTTTCCCCATTTACCCTGGGTTTCCTGCCTCTCATCTGTCTGGCTTCTAACTATCACTGCAATCATATCTCATTCTTCAGCCTGATGTTACATGCTGAAGATCAGAAGTTCCTAATCCATAGGAGGCCTCAGGAGCAGGTAAAATCAAGATTTATCACAACCAGGAGGCAGTTAGCTTGAAAATCAGGTTTTATAAGGGCTCTTCAGGGAGGCTGCCTGCGTTCTTGTCGTACTTCTGTCACCGGTTGGCCCTGTGAGGTTGGGCAGAGATCTTAAATTTCTTTCAGCCTTTGTTTTTTTTTCATTGATAAAGTAAAGATAATAACAGTAGCTACCTTATGGAATTTCTTTAAGGTTTAAATAACAAATTAGAAGTAATTAGAACAGTGCCTTGCAGAGGCCAAACATTCAATAGAATAGATATTGACTATTCTTCATTTCAGAAATGTTTTAAATTATATACCATTTACAGATATAAAATTGTCTGAACCAGATAGCAAGTGTATGAAAAGTTATTTAATTTCAAAAGTAAATTCTGAATTTCTAAAAGTCGGTCATTAATTTGTTATAACCATGGCTCTCTGCTATTTCTCTCTCATTCATTCTTACATTAAGTGGTGAAAGAGCTTACACTGTGCTTAGTGTTTTATAATCCTTTCTCTAACCCTGTAATCTTCCTTATAATCATTATTATCTTCACTCTATCAACCAGGAAACCAAGAGATAAATCCACTCAAAATAACTTGCCTAGGGTTAGGAATCTTGTGTGTTGTGAGACTGGACTTCAATCTCAAGCCCTTGAAGCTCTCATATAATGAGTGTTTACACTGAAATGATGTTGTCCTACTTTGAAAAGATATGATTTAAGCAATGCCAAGAGGATAAATTGCACATTAAAGCTTGCCATTGGGTGTCCACAAGAGAAATAGTCACACCAGTAGAAACTTACTTGCCAGCTTGTTTGTTCGGTTGGGGCTTTAGTTCTTGTTTGCTTTGTGAAGTGCTGAGCTAGACTATAGGTTATCTCCACTTTTAGCTTTGCCAGGGTGTGGAAATATGTCCTCCGAGTCTCTATGTGTTCTGGCAAATCGCAGGTGAACAAAGACTTAAAATAATTGAAAAATTTTTCATTAAAATAAGAGATAAAAATAAGTTTTCATACTATACTAAATTCATTGTATTTTCAGAAGTGGGCTATTCAAGGTAGTTTTGTATGAAAAAATAGTTTAATAATGCTCAGAGTTAGCCACTGTACTTTTTCTCTTCAACACTTCTCAACTTTCTCAGGATGTTAGTCACATTTTTCTTAGGATACTATTTTCATTTTATTAATCAGCTCTGATGTATAAAATTAATCTGTAATTATTAAATGTTTTATATCAGGCATTCCAATGATGTGGCTGTTTTTAACAACAACCTGTTTGATTTGTGGAACTTTAATTGCTGATAAACTCTTTAATTTGGAAAATGAAGCAAATCCTGAAGTGTGGATGAATACTGTAAGTCATGGAAAATTCCAAAGAATGCCAAATAAAGCAGATAATAGGTTATGAAATTATTAAAAGTCCTGCTAGAGCTGAAAATCTCTGATAAGAAAACAGATAAAACAAGCTATTTTTAAAAATATTTTTTTTATTAATTTCAGAGAGAAAGGGAGAGAGAGAGAGAGAAAGAGAGAGAGAGAGAAACATCAATGATGAGAGCAAATCATTGATCCATTGCCTCCTCCTTCATGCCCCCTACTTGGGACCAAGCCTGCAACCCAGGCAGGTGCCCTTGACTGGAATTGAACCCAGGACCCTTCAGTCCATAGGCCAATATTCTATACACTAAGCCAGACCAGCTAGGGCTAAAACAGGTGATTTTTAACATTTTTCCAAAAGTCAAGCTCTTTTGGCTGAATAAATAATACTTCCTGGTCATGCAAAGCAGAACTATATTTTTTCAGACAACTTATATTTTTAATAGTATTAAGGATTTATATTTTAAGCAATCTGGATAATATTTATAACTGCCCTCTATTGGGCTATGATCTTATTATCTTTAAACCAAGAAGGATCTCAAAGACAATTGACTTGAGAATATTGTTTGTCAAAAGAATGTGTCAATGCTAAATATTATCTCTCTCCACTAAAGAAATGTCAATAGTAGACATTTTCTATTATATATTTCTATATAAAAATATTCTACTTATTTTTTATCAAAACTTTATTTAATAAATTAATTTTACAGTTACCTGGGGCTATAGATTACAGATAACTCACCCTGATAAGTTTACAACAGATACTTTGTTCTAGTTTCTTTTGATACCCATTCTAGAACATGTTTAGCTAATGCCCGTGTTTTCACTGGCCAGAGTGAAGTCATCACCTATAATGGATACCCCAGTGAAGAGTATGAGGTTGTCACTCAAGATGGGTACATCCTTAGCATCAACAGAATTCCTCACGGGCGAAGAGACACTAGGAGTGCAGGTATGAGTTGTGCCTCTCCCGATAAGGATTGGATATGACTAAAATTCAGTGCTGGCTTTTCTTTAAGAGAGTGACTGATACATATATCAAACATTTTTTGAATTTTGCATTAGTCTTTAAATGGTTAGCAGGGAGTCTCATTCTTTTCTAATTCTCGGAAGACTGCCAAGAACCTAAAAATACAAAAGGCAAGACTGAGCTTGTTGGCAGCAACTAGGCTTGCTTGTTAGGGTGTAAAGGCAAAAGTGGAGCCTACATTTTATAAGCTCATTACTGATTTTCCAGGTGATAAACTTCTATATTCCAAGAAAGTGGATTTCCTCACTGTTGGAAAGGGATTCACTGGGTTGTATAAAGTTGGTTGTGGGGTGTCCCAAAAGAGTATCTCTGGCCCTCACTAAAATTAATAGACCACCCTCTTCATGATAAAAGTTCAACTTAAATGATTGGCATTTCTGAAACTTCTTCCAGGAAAAAAAACTTTAACACTCACACATGCTCTGGATCTAAGAGACCTATAGTTTGTGGAATGGAAGAATAGGGTGTTAATATGGCCTCGTTCAAGCTGGCCACAAGCAGAGGGAGAATTAGAACTGCAAAACCTCTGAAGAGGGAGAGAGGAGAGCAAGCAAAGTCTCAGTGACCTCTCTGCATCATCTCTCCCACCATACACATTCAGAGTAGCCATAATCATGTTGTTCGACACTTTCTCCCTCTCAGAAAGAAATTTGTAATTCAAGAGTTTTTTATAAGTAGGAGGGGGGAGGGAGGTGATGTGAGTGGGATTACCTGACAAAACATGAGACATCTAAAGTTGAATTTCATAAACAATAAACATAGATGTCTCACTTGAGTATATAGAACTCAGATGAAAAAATTATTTTTTGTTTTATTCAAATCTAATAGGGTCCCCAGGTCTTTTTATCACTTCTGTTTGTTTGGGGCTAAATCTGTCAACCAAATCTCCCTCAGGAGTGGGGAAAAGGGGACTATGAAATACAAAAGGAGAAAACTTTTTCAAGGAAAGGTTTTGCTTCAGGAGGGAGGATTTGAGAAGATTTGGAATTAAACGTCATTTATCGGGCATATTGTTCCTAGCAAACCTATGAGGTCAATACTATTAATCATTAAATTATAGGCCTTTGGAAACATGTCATCCTGGTCCTTCTCATTTTCCCCAATGAATACTCTATACGCTTGGAATTTGAGAGTTGGCAGAGAGGGGGTTGAGTTTATTTTACTATTATAATTTTCAAATGTTCTCCCGTGGGTGGAGGCTGGGTGTTTGGTTAGAAGCTTGGTGAGAAATTAGTGATTGTCCATTTACACTCACCCCCTCTCTCTCCCTAAAGGAAGGACTGGAAGAGGCATAGGACTCCATTAAATGTGATCACTTCCAGGTCACTGTAAGCCACACCCAGAAGATATGTAAATACAAAATCATAGAGCATAGCAGTTACAAGCACATGCTTTGGCATGAAATAAAACCCAGTTTGAGTCCTGACTCAGTACCTTGTTAGCCTGGTTACCCTTGGGGAAGTTACTTATCTGAAGTCTTAGTTTCCACACCTGTGCAATGAGGAGCCTCAAAATAATAACTAATTTATAAAGTTATTGTAAGAATTTAATATGCTCGTGCATTTCAGTCAATGGCCATAACACCAGGTACAAAGTATTTGCTCAAGAAATTTGCTTTGTGATCATAAAGTTCTACACTAATGACAGGGGAAAAGTGGATGGTGTTTTAGGGTTGGTTTTTTTATTTTCTTTTTCTGGTGGTGGTGGTGGTGGTGGTGGTGGTGGTGGTGTGTGTGTATGTATGTACGCACATTTCTATCATGTTCCTGAGATGCTCTATATATCATAAATTATTTTATCATTATCTACCTATCACTGTTCTCTCTCTTTCCCTCCCTCACTTCAGGTCCCCGGCCAGTAGTGTACTTACAGCATGCCCTGTTTATAGATAATTCCTGCTGGCTTAAGAATTATGCCAATGGAAGCCTTGGATTCATTCTCGCAGACTCAGGTTACGATGTCTGGCTGGGGAACAGTCGGGGGAACCTTTGGTCAAGAAAACACAAAACACTGCCACTGACTAAAGAAGAATACTGGGCCTTTAGGTAAACTGTGTCCAGTTTGAGACAATTTTGAATATAATAGTATGAATAATATTAATAATAATCTTTGAAATCACAGTTCCTTATAGTTCCTACTAACATCTCAAAAGTCAGAAGCAGCAAGAAGCTTTAATTTCCACTGGTTCTTCTGTAGTCAAATTATATCATTTTAATAAGATTATTGTAATATCCAATGCTATACAGTAAAAGTATGTCCCAAAAGGAAGCACAGGAATTCTTATGACCATTTATGCAGTCAATCCATATTTATTTAGGCACTATTTATTTATTTATTTAAACTATTCTAGGCTCTGAGCATTTAAAAGGGAACAATGTCCCTGCCCTCACAAATCTTCTATTCATTCTAGTGCTGCTAATACAAGTTCTTTCTCTTGGACAGCCAATCAGTTTTACAATGATGTGTATCAGTACTAGATTTTTTTTGATTTTTTTTTAGAGAAACCATGGTTGAATTTTATAGAATACTGTTATTTGTTTTGTTTTGTTTTTAAATATATTTCTGAGAGGAAGGGAGAGAGAGAGGGAAAGAGAGAAAGTCAATGATGACAGAGAATCATTGATTGACTGCCTTCTGTCCACAACCCAGGCATGTGTCCTGACTACCAGGAAATGAACTATAACCCCCAGGTTCATAGGTTGATGTTCAACCACTGAGCTGTGCAGGCCAGGCTAGAATACTATTTTATAATATTCTAATTTGAGATCTTTAAAACTTTGTTAAGGGGAATGGAAAAAAATCTTTTGATATGATGCGTGTTTCTTTTAGTAAAAGTGTTTCTGGGGTCACCAGAAGACAAGCTGGTGCCCACCATAGGCTTTCCTTCATGGGTAAGCTCACTGTCACATGCAAAGTTATGAAATATTCAGAATCCACTGGCAGGTTGAGAAGAAAGAAAGAATAAAATAACTTGTTAGAGTCAGAGCTTTCAAGCAGTGTGGCGAACATTGGGAAATATTTTGTGTCACTGGTCCTTAGCTAGGAGCTAGGATCTTGTTTACTGTAAGGTATCACAACTCCCAGTATCAATCTATATTTTTCCTCACATGTTGTTTATTAAAATAGTCCTCTAAATTATAGAGTACCTGACTCAACTAAATGTTATGTACTAATTGTTCTCCTGTATCAATACTAGCTGAACTGGTACTGTAAGATGTTAGTATATATTGAATATATATATTCATTTATATTGACAGAAATGTTAATAACAGCAACAACTAATTGCAGCCAGAGTCATTTCCTTAATACTATCCAACCCTTATGACTTCCTTAAAACAGGTGCTATCATGTTCATTCCACAGATAAGAAAACTCAAGTTTAGAGAATCTAAGTAACTGATCAAAAGCTACTACATGCTAGAATTATGATTTACAACCAGTTCTGTTTCTAATAGGGGCATTCAAATAGCCCTGAGAGTCTTAATTTCCCTGAGGGAGTCTAAAGGAGTGGCAGGAGAACTAGATTGGGGGATGGAGGGAAGGGAAGTGAAGCAAACACAATAGAAGGGAGTGAAGAGGAGAAATGATAAGACTGAACTTCAGATACTATACACAAGTCTTGAAATCATTCCTGTTATTCAAAAGTAATCCCTGTGAATGCAGTGAACTAAAATTACAATAGCCTGCGTGTAACTGGATCAATAATGAAATATACACCAACTAAGTGTAAAAAAATGTGATCAAATGCTCCAAATTTCAAACTTAGTTGGGAGTATTGATAAGACCATTTTATTTTGCAGTTTTGATGAAATGGCCAAATATGATCTCCCGAGCATAATAGACTTCATTGTAAATAAAACTGGGCAAGAGAAGTTGTATTATGTTGGACATTCACTTGGCACTACAATAGGTATGTTTGCGAAGGTCAGTGTTTTACAAGGGTCAAAGTCTTGTAAGAGTTCATCTTTAAACTGGAACAGTTACTGCCATTAATAACATTCTTCATTCCCTGTCCTGTTCTTAGCACGTAATTCCAGTGCCATAAGTGACTATAAACCTGGATTTCAGATACTGTTTGTAGGCCAAATATTCCCTTCATTTCTGATCATAATTACACATTTGTAATGGTGATATAATTTCCCAGTATAACATGTACCCCAAATCCAAAGAAGTATCCAAAGAATAAGTTTCTAGACTCCCTCTGAGCTGAAAATGTAAAGCCTAATCACATAAAATAATCCCTGAAGAATATAATCATACCTTCCTCACAACTCACATGGGATTTTTAAAAATAAATAAAGGGGAGGAGTTTATATTTATATTTGAACAAATTAAAAAGATATGACTATTTTTTGAGTTGGAAAATGAAAGCTTACTATAACAAAGCAAGTGGGCTTATCTAGTGTATAATATAATATAGAATATCAATTAAATGTAAGAACTATGTAGAATTTTTTTAAAAAAGTCCAAAGCCCTGCTCTTTGAAAACATACTTTTTAATCATTTCCTATTTTTGGGGGGGTGAAGGGGTGGGTAGGGGAGGAATCAATAATCTAGTTCCAAATAAAAATGTAGAGGGATCAATATAGTTAAAAATGTGAATTTACTAGTGATCTTCCACTGAAGTTTTCTATTTTAAGAGATCAAGTTACGTTAAAACTATTTAAGTATCGGTGAAACTGTGCAAGAAACAGTAAACATTCTTACAGCAGTCTCCATTATTATTAACAGAAAATGTATATTTATCAGTGCTTTGTATTGATCAGCAGCTTACAAGCTTAGAACAGGAAGTGAGCATCAGAGGACATATATAAGGGTATCAAAGAACTAATTGGAGACTCGCTTCAACTACCCCCAACTACCACTAACAAGTAAATAATTATACTCTCAGAGCTAACATTTATTGAGCATTTACTGAGTTTAGGACCCTGTGTTTAAGAACTTTCCCAAAATATCTCTTTTTAAAACTTTCTATTATTATTTCTATCTCCCAAAAGAGGAAACATAAATTCAAAGAAATTAAGTGGATTGCTTGAGGTCTCTTAGCACGTAAGAGGCAGAACACAGATTCAAACCACGTCAGTTAGACTTCACCCATGAGATACTTAGGCTTTGGATGGAGCAGGAATGAGTTGAGTGGAGTCTAGAAAAGTGAGTAGGACTTTTACAGGATATGCTTTAACATGTGCTCTTCAAAGAAAACAGAAATTTTGATCATCAGTGATCTGCATTGCATTCAGGGCCTATAATTTTTTAGTGAGTACTATTTGCATACTGGGCAGAGCAATTTTTACTTTGTGGGAAAGGCCCACTGTTTACATGGCACCTAGCTACCAAGGCCCCAATTCATCTATAATAATAAAAGGGTAATATGCTAATTAGACCAGATGTCTTTCGGACATCATTCAAACATCCTTTAAGACAGCCAGTCCCAGGTGCCAGCAGGCAGCCCTGGTGCTGGGTGCCAGCGGGAAGCCTGTGCCAGCAGCTGGGGGAAGGAAGGCCTACTCTTGCACGAATTTTTGTGCAGCAGGAATCTAATTAAGTGATAATAAGGCTCCCGAATCAGTATGGCCAACAACAAAAAACCTACAGAAATCTTCAAGGGGGAAGATTATGCCTATTTCAGAGTCTTTGTATCAACTGATACAAAGTCAGCTCTTTTTTTTTTTTCTTTTTCTTTTTCTTTTTTTTTTTGCCCAAGACAGTTTCAATAAGAATCAGGGGGGGAATAAAAAAGCTTCTGCTATGGAAACACACCCATACACACACACACACACACACACACACACACAGTGGAGGGTGGCCAAGAAGGCATCTTGGAAAATCAAAATACACAGAAACTCCACAGAGCTTCTTCTGTGTAGTGCTGATCTCATCTTTACAGAGCTAGCAATGGGTGCCGTGCTATTACTTAAAGACCAGAGCAAATGGTACCTGGTTCTTCCTGGGACCACAGTGGACCGAGGGAAACCCCCTTCTCTCTTGAAAGCAGAAAACAAATTCTGGAGGGTTGGTAAGCATCCCTGAGGCAGTGGGAGCAATGAAATTCCATTCCATTGTGAGAAAGAAAAACTGGAATAATTAGATGGTACTGCAGAAAGGCCTACTTTGTGAGTCACCTCCCAGAACTGATTCTTTACTTCTGGAAGCTCTGGACTCATTCTAGCACCTCAGCATTGGGGGCTGAATGACAATACTGACAGCAGTTCCTCCAGGCTTTGAAAGTGAGGTTGTCCATAGTCACTTGCCAGTAGAAGCTTACACCTCACTTTCCACAACCCGGTTACAACTGTCCAGAATTAAAAGAAAAAGAAAAAGAAAAGAAAAAAGGAGACGAGAGCAGAGAGGACTAAAGGCAGATTCTCTTTGCAGAATAACTCAGAAGAGTCTCCCAATTCATTCCCAAAGATCAGGCAATAGAAGGATTAAAATGACAAGAGTCCCTCCTTTTCTTTATAGAGGCAGTATGCATTCCTCATTTTTACAAGAGTGTCTTATCTCCTGTTCTCTCAGGGTTTGCAGCCTTTTCCACCATGCCTGAAGTGGCTCGGAGAATCAAAATGAATTTTGCCTTGAGTCCTGTGGCCTCATTCAAATATACCAAGGGTATTTTTACCAGTTTTTTTCTACTTCCAAGTTCTTCAATCAAGGTAGGCTCCCCATTTCACCAAAATGTATTTGAGGGTCTCATTTTGGATCATAGATATTCATTATTTTAAAGTCTGTGATGAAATAAAAGTAGGAAGTTTAGATGAAATCTGTGGAAACCAGAATCTGCAACCAGGTGCTTATTTGTGTGTGTGCAAGTCTGTACCACACTGTCTACAGCTGTCATATACAAGTTATTATACTCAATCATTAACAGACCTGACTATATATCAGAGCCGGTAGCTGTGCTGAGTGCTAGATCAACGTAAAGTCCATTCATGTTTTCTTGTTCCACTGTGCAAATCAACGAACTTGCAATGTCCAAATGAAAGACATTTTTCTAGTTTCATACGGTCACTGACATCCTGACTTTGATGTAAAATGTGAATAAAATAATCCTTCTTATATGGATTAGTAAATTAGAACTCATACTTGTTCTAATTTACTAAAACTATGATTATAAAGCTTAATTGTCTTACAACTCAAATATTTCTTCGAATATTTATTGGTTATTTTCCAAGGATTGGAAAAGCAGTTTGATTGCTAATTGGGAATTGGGAATTTTATCCATTTAAGTTATTTTTCTATTTGTTTTTTGTCTCTTTGAAAAGGTCATTGGCACAATGAACACAGTATTTTACCAAGATAGCACCTTGAATTTGGGGTGAAGGATAAAATCAATTTTGGTCAAAGTGAAGTCAAGAAGACCAATTAGGGTATCCCAATAATTCATATGTGAGAGGAGGCCCTGGTTTATGGTGGTGTAATAGATCTGGAAACCATTGTTTGTTGAGCTAAGACAAGGAAGAATTTCCATAGGGCCTAATGATTGGTTTGATAATAGTTTGGTTGTATTATCTACTTGAGCTCAAGTGATGTAACTTCCCTTTTGTGTGGGTTGATAATTCTACTGCAAAGTGTATTGATATCAATGTTGGATATTTCCTACATTTGGACAGACTGAACAGACAAATTAGTTAAATTCAGAGATAGACACATCTACCACCAATTTTGCAGATCTATTGCTTTGCCAACAAAGATTGGATCTGAGGCAAATACTGTCCCTGGTTTATCTGTTTCATATCCCCTACTGTCAAGTTTCCTGCCACTGTACATTCCATTCCTTGACCTCACCTGCCACTTGATAATATCTGTTGCCCAGAGAAGCTCCAGTCCTCTCATCAAAGATTCCCCTCCCAATCTTATTTTCCCAAGCCCTAGACGTTTTAATGTGCCACCCCCCTTTCTGTCCAGTGGCACCCTCTCTTTGGTACACGATGCTCTATTTTTCAGCATAAAAGCTAGCTAATCTGGGATGCTCCCAGAAAAACATTATGCACATGGGTAATAGGGAAAATCCTACTTTCCCTTCTTATTCAAGGCAATATTTATCCTTAAGGAGAAATATTCTGCCTTTCTTGCCAATTAATGAGATATTAAAAATGAAGCCACTGAAACCGGTTTGGCTCAGTGGATAGAGCGTCGCCCTGTGGACTGAAAAGTCCTGGATTTGATTCCCGTCAGGGGAATGTACCTTGGTTGCAGGCACATCCCCAGTAGGGGGTGTGCAGGAGACAGCTGATCAATGTTTCTCTCTCATTGATGTTTCTAACTCTCTATCCTTCTCTCTTCTTCTCTGTAAAAAAATCAGTTAAAAAATATTTTTTTAAATGAAGTCAATTACTGATTTACAGACTATAATGAGAGAATACAGAAAAGCTTCACCATGAAGAAGCAAATTTGTGTTTGAGGGTCCTTACTGCAATCTCCTTATAAATTACGTCCAGTGATCTTCTCTGGGTACAGATGGATTCATAAGTATAGTAGTTCCTTTGCCTGAACAATTTGGTCCCCTTGACTGAAACAGCAAATACAAATTGATCCTAAGAATCCTTATTTCTGGGATGATGAGAATGTTAAAAAGTTTGGAAATAATTCTTAAAAATATATATATATATATTTTTTTACAGAAATTGTTTGGTACCAAAGGTGTCTTTACAGCAGATAAGACAGCGAAGACAATTTTTGTCAAAATCTGCAACAATAAAATATTACGGGTGATATGTCGTGAAGTAATGGACTTATGGGCAGGGTTAATCAGGAACAATCTGAATATGGTATGTATAAGGTATGGGAACATTAAATGTTTTGAGAAATTCCAGCTTTCCTTTGATTTAGTTTGATGTATCTATTACTCTGCATAAATTAATGGGTATTAGTTAAAGGTAGTCTAAGGGTATTAATAAAGGGTATTCTAAGCCCTTAAATGCCAAGATTTGCTATGTATAGATTAGGAATTCAATAGCCCATGAATGTGAAGACTGGGGAAAAGAATAAATAGGCGGCTTCAACCTTCCATCCCTGATCAAGTTTAGGAAAAGTAAATGTTCCTCAATAGGTAGTAGTTTCACATGTTCATAATCAGCCACCACTTACTACAGTGACTTTGATTTTACAATTAATATAGTGCATTAAAAATAAAATCCTAAATAAAACTGAAACTCGTAGACACAGACAGACAACAAACAGCATGATGGTTACCTTAGGGAAGGGGGAAGGAGGGGTAGTGAAGGTGTAAAGGGGATCAAATAGATGGTGACAGAAGATTTGACTTTGGGTAGTGGGCACACAATGCAACATACAGGTCATGTATCATAGAAATGGACGTTTGAAACCTATTTGACCCTATTACCCAATGTCACTTCAATAAATTTAATAAAAATAAAATAAAATAAAATTCTCAAAAAGAAGTGAAGCACATATAAGCATTGAACTTATTTTGTGTGTGCCCTCATATGTTGGATCACTCTGGTCTCAATAAAACTCATCACTTAGAACTTAAAAGACAGAATGGAATGGAGAAGGAATCCCATTTCTCTGAAGAAGCAGCAGTCCTGTTTCATCAACTCTTTGCTTCCTGTTATTGAGAATTCAAGAAGGAGAAGGAAAAGGAGGAGGAGGAAGAGGAAGAAGAGGAAAAAGAGGAGAAAAAAGAAGAGGAGGAGGAGGAGAAGGAAAAAAGGAGGAGGAGGAGTTAATATTTGCAGAGGATTGTGGTTGGATAGCTATCTCTGTCATATTCCAAAGGCAGCCAAGTGAGACTGTGACAGTAAAGCTAGTCCTAAACGTTTGTCTATTAACCCACCCTACTCCTATTTGTTAAGAAGCTAAGTTGCATTAGACCAAAAACCATGAGGAACCATTGTTCAAAGCCTACTTATTCAAAAGTAAAGATTTTTAATAGTTCCCTTGATTAGTTTCATGATATTCTCAGGTATAAAATTATGATTACTATTGTATCTCTATAATGTCATCTCTATAATGTTTATAAAAATCAAAGTACAGAGCATATAGAAATGATTGTTTATTGGCTTTTCTTTTATAATATTTTATTTTATCTTCACAAGTGCCCACCAAATTGGTAGCATGATTTTCATTATCTTCATTTAATAGATGACAATATAGAAACTCAGAGATGTTAAGTAACTTGCCCAAAGTCACAAAGATTATAATTAACAGAGTTAGATCCTGAAGTCCAGGTGTTTTTGATCTACTGATCTGCAATAGCGTGTCTAGGCACTTGTACCTACCACTGCTTCCACTTGCACTTTGCACCTTTCCTCCATGACGTCCATTCTTGCTTCTTCTACTTCAAAGGAATTAAATTATCTTACAGTTTCAGAGCTGATTCAGGTTTGCTATCAAGCAACCCATGCCACTGGTCAGTCCACTGTTCACTCATGTTCAAGTGTCTGTCAAAAATTCAGACTTATCTAGACGATTCACATGGATATTTTCAAAACCCCCAGTATTTGTTTGCTAAGTTTTAGCTGAACTGTTTTCTGTGTTTGGAAGTCATAGCTTATTTCTGTGGCCGATTCCTGGTGTAACATGTGGTTTATTTCCCTTCAGAGTCGGATGGACGTGTACATGTCACACTCTCCCACTGGATCATCAATACAGAACATCCTGCATATAAAGCAGGTAGGGACTCTGTCATGAAAAACCATCCCCATCCCTGTTTTCATTATATGTGAAGGGAAAGAGTTAACAGGCCTCCTCTAAGAACTTTACCAGCTGGCTTCCATTTTGTCCTTGTCACCATCTTAACTGGTCTGATTTCCCTGGGTTTTAAGAGAAATGACAAAATATGGTGCAGAACAAGTAGGTAATATAAATAATTCCCTTCTTAAATCAGAGCTTATAAGAGAGGCCCTGAGCTAAAGCAAGAGGTAAACTGGGAAAATCTCAGGAATCTGAGCCTTCCCCAGAGAGAGAAATATGACTTCTCCCTAATGAGTTTTTGTTTTCCATTAGCTTATCCTACAAACCATAGGAGATCTGTTTCTCTTCTCTTCTCTTCTCTTCTCTTCTCTTCTCTTCTCTTCTCTTCTCTTCTCTTCTCTTCTCTTCTCTTCTCTTCTCTTCTCCCCCCCTCTCTCCCCCCCCCCCCTCCCCCCCCCTCCCCTCCCCTCCCCTCCCCTCCCCTCCTCTTCTCTCTCTCTCTCTCTCTCTCTCTCTCTCTCTCTCTCTCTCTCTCTTTCTCTCTCATTTTTCATAGTAAAAATGTATTTCCATCTTTCTACTGGTCTAGAAGCCTTATTTTCTTTCCAATATGCAGTGTTTTTCTAAGATTTGCTGTTAACATTAATGATTCTTATTCTGAATATTATATTACTAAAAAACCCCACACATTTATTTCAGCTTTACAGAGCTGATGAATTCAGAGCTTATGATTGGGGAAGTGAAGCTGAGAACATGCGTCACTACAATCAGGTGAGTTATTCAGAATGCCCCTAGAAGGGTGGTTTTGAGACATTGTAAAAATAAATTATTTGAAAGTGAGAAGAATCCTGCCTGACAATTGGTGATATTCACATGGATAGATAGAACTTTTTGAAAGTTTTGTGATTGTAATATGTATTCATTGTGAAAATCTAGGAAAAAAAGAAGCATATTCTAAGGGAATTAAATAATGTATAATCACTCCACCCAGAGATAACTAGATATATCAATATTTTGTTGCATTCATTCTAGTCTTTTCAGCATCACTGCTTTTATACAACTTTTAGTATTTCTTTTATTTATGGTTATAGCAATACATAACCAATGTTACTGAGGGTTTTTTTTTAACATAATCTTAATGGTTGCATAAAAGTGAAAATTGTTTTTACAAAAATCTACACAAATTTACAGAGTAAATGAATACACATTTCTTGATACTAACAGCAAGAATTGGATACAACATGAACATTAAAAGAGTATTATCCACCATGAAGACGTCTTAAGGCATTTTCTCCTTCCAATTTTACACATCCAAATTTATAGATTCCTTTGGCCCTCCTGTGCTTTAACCAATGTTGTTGCCATCATTTCTTTTCTCAAAGTCATCGGCTGGGCTTCTGTGTGAACTAAACCCATTAAATTAAAAATTTCCAATGTTTTCCAAGACTCATATATTTAAAGTCATTCCTAGTGCAAACCCACATTAATTAGGTTGTTTCTAAGCATCAAAACCGTCGATCAGACCAGTTATTTCTCAATAATATATGGAATTGCTAGAGAAATAATTCTTCTAGCTTTTAAGATAACAGTAAGAGCTATGCACATTTTTATTATTTTTATCTGCTTGATTATGGTATTATTTACATACAGTAAAATTCATTGATTGTACACGTGTAATTCAATGAACTTTGAAAAATATATTCATTTGTGTAACCGCAACACAATCAAGATACTATAGAACATTTCCATTACTCAAAAACTTTTCTCCTACTACTCAAACTATGTATATTCACAAATGCTTAAAAAAGGGTCAGGAAAAAAAACCTACCTAACAAATGTTAAAGTTATTATCCTCAGAGAGGGGAGGAAAGAAAGGGTGAAGTAAATGGACATGATGGAGTAAAAGAGGCTCTATTTTGGATTTTACATACTTCTGCTGTCATCCATTATTTTTATTAAGCAGGTTATATATTGTTTACTTTTTTAAATATCTATTTTTATTGATTTCAGAGAGGAAGTGAGAGGGAGAGAGATAGAAACATCAGTTATGAGAGAGAATCATTGATTGGCTGCCTCTTGCATGCACCCCACTGGGGATCAGGCCTACAACCTGGGCATGTGCCCTGTTCAGGAATCTAACCATGACCTCCTGGTTTTTAGGTTCAACCACTGAGTCATGCCAGCCAGGTTATATTATTTACTTTTAAAAGAAAATGGAACAAAATATATCACAGTTAAAGACCATTATAATCAAGTTTTTTTTTTTCTTCCAGTTTTATTAAGGTAAAATCAGCAAATGAAATTTTAAGATTGAATATACAACATGATAAGTATGAAATAGTGTAAATGTCCTTATTATAATTTATCCAGGCTGATCCTCTTTTATTTGTGTGAGATTTTAGATCATTTTGAAACAAGAGTTTTAAGAGTAAATAGGACAGGTTTAGGAAATTGTAGGAATTTTGGAACCGAAGGGGACCATGGAGGAAGCACAGGGCTGCAGAGCAGCAGAAGGTATATTTCCAGAGAATAGGACAGCTGAAAAGCTCAACAGGTACATTTCCATAGAATGAGGGAGCTGGGAACAGCAAAAGGGCTATATTTATAAAATAAAGAGAAGGAAGCCCTTCATCCAGAAGCAGAAGAAGAAAGGAATGGGGGGAGGGGGTCTTCACATGTCCCTTGTGAGATTCAACCTTTGAGCTTAGGGGTTAGTATAGTAATCAGTCTAGGAAACAGTGGCCGATCAGAGGGGATACCAAGGCACCAGGATCTGCAGCCTTTGTGAGCCATAGGGAAAAGGAACTCAGTGGAACCCTTTCCCCCTCTCTACTTGGGAGTCCATTCTGTGGGACTCTTCCCCTCACCCCATGTGGGAGTCTGTACTTGTTCTTTAATAAATCTCCACCTTTGCCATACCACTTTCTAATCATGGATTCATTCTTTGATTCTCGTGGACAAAGAATCCAGGTTCCAGTCCAAAATTTCCATTTCAACTTGAAGTCAATTTTTATTACATTCTAATTTCATCAGTTTGCCCTCTTAAGTTTCCAGCACAGTCTCTGTGCCTACTCTATGCTTTTTCGAGAATAAGAGGATTAACTCATACAAGCCTCATAAGGGTAGGAATTACATTCTCTTTCGTTCACCAATGTTTTCTCACCTAGCAGAGTACCTGGCGTTTACGGGGCCCTTAATATTTATTTGTTGCATGAATACAATTTCTTAACCTCCCTCTGACCACCTGAAAATGTCTCTGTCCCCTTGATTCTAGTCTTCTTTTCTCTCAGAAAATGAAGACCCTCTTATTTTCCAAGTTCACTTGCATGTGCCCTTGACCCTCACCTCTTTTCATCCCTTCTTCACTCTTACTCCTTTTATTTTCTTAAAGGAGCTCCTATACCTCATGAAAAACAGTCACTATAGTTTCCTTGCAACTTACTCTCCTAACTTGAACTTTGTGATGCAATGCTCTCTGATTTTTTCTTTCCCTTTTTGTTTGCTCTCTTTGTTCTCTGCACTGGCCACTCTCTGTTTCCCACCACTGTCCAACTGTCAGCATTTCCCTAAGATTCTTAGCTAGTATTCTAATAAGATCTTAACAAGATTCTCTGTACTAGTATCTCTCTTCCTTGGAGAATTTAGCCATCTCCAGTACTTTAACTATCTCCTTCTTTGGACCATCCATATTGCTTGACTAGATTTTTTTTCAGGAACTATCCTTTCTTCAAATCATTTCACAAACTCATGATCATGCAGCCCTCTTAAGACAGAGCTCTGAGAAATGAACCTGCTTTGTCCCCAAAACTTCTGAAACATATCCAAATACCCTCACCTGGTATTTAGACTGTCTCCAATCTTATATCCTACAATGTTCTTTCAAATATTTTCTTCTCTGGGTATACACTGGACAGCTTGCCATTCCTGACCATGGCATACAGGCTCTTCCCGCCTCATAGGAAGCCCTCCCACTCTCCTTCCTATCGGTCAAATGACTTCTTTGTATATGAAGCCTCCAACTGGAAATAACTTCTTTGTCTTCACTTTGATTGTCTTTATAGTGTGTTATAACATATAACATACACTATTTTGCATACAAATGTTTGGTTTTCTTGCCTTGTTTCTTCAAACTCCTGAAGATAAGAAACATTGCGTGTTTCCTTCCTATTTCCCTCAGTGAACAATGGACTTGGTAGATATTGATTTGGTAGCGTCTCTACTTATTTGAATTCAGTTGTTTCTGTGAGGAGCTTCCTCTCATGAATGTTCTTTCTTTCTCCCCCATAGAGTCGTCCCCCAGTGTATGACTTGACTGCCATGACAGTGCCTACTGCTATTTGGGTTGGTGGAAATGATGTCCTTATAACAATCAAGGATGTGGCCAGGATACTCCCCCAAATCAGGAATCTCCAGTACTTCCAGTTTTTGCCAGATTGGAACCACGTTGATTTCATCTGGGGCCTTGATGCTCCTGCACGGGTGTACAGTACAATCCTAGACTTGATGAAGACATGTTCCTGACTACAATACACCCACTTTTCCATTAAAGCTTGCTTTCAACTTCAGGAGGCTTTGGGGAAAAGAATAATCAACAGTGAGGTCTACTCCAGCATCCTCCACATTGTTGATGTTGCTAAATGTTCCCTGGTCAAGGAGTCTCAAGGAAAACATCCCCCAATCAATGGTATCCCACAGATTTTCCACTGGTGATTTGCATTCTTCATGAATAAGGAGGAAGATCTTTCTCCCTGTCTTGCTGATTCACCCGCATACAGAACCAAACAAGAGACAGAAAGGAAAATTTCTCAAGGCAAGCCTCATGTAGTGCTAAGCATGGAGCAGAATGATCCCTAAACTTCCCCATTCTTCCCTAATGTAAGTAGATTGGTGTTCTCCCAAACTGTAGTCATTCACATTCCTCACTCACCTGTGCCATGTCTGCATGACACCTACAATTCTGATTATTTACAAGTCTCAAACTCAATTTGTTTATTTATATATATTTAAAAAAAACATTTTTGGAGCTACTATAAATGGCAGGAAAAGGTACTATTTACCCCAACTTGAAGGTAAATATAAACTGTAACAATAAATAGCAGATAATTGATAATAAAATTCCTAGATGCCATGACTAGTCAAGGCCCCTGAGTTTTAGAACTGCCTTCTTTTTGTTAAACGTGTTCTCTTGATTTGAAAGGGAGATTGGCAAGTGCTAGAAACAAAGACATAAACCAGAGTTCGGCTTTCTCCTTGCGCTCAGGCTAAAAGAAATTTGACAGTGAGTCTTTGGTGGAATGTACCATGGCCCTTCAAAGCTGTTCATGTCATAATTCAAGAAACAAACCCTAACCCTTATATGACAAAAGAGACTTTGCAGATGTGACTAAGTTATGGAAGTTAAGAAACTTGAGGTGAGAAGTGGCTCAAAGTAATTACAGGGGTCTTCCCCTAAGAGGGAGGCAGGAAGGTCAAAGTCAGAAAATATAACAACGAAACCACAAGAATCTGGAGTGATGCACTGACTCAAGGAATGCAGGCCGCCTCTGGAATCTGGAAAAGGGGAGGAAACAAATTCTCCCAGAAGTTTCCATAAAGAATGCAGCCCTACACCTTTATCTTAGATTTCTGATCTTCAAAACTGTAAGAGAATAAACTTATATTTTTAAGCCACTAAGTTTCTGATAACTTGTTACAGCAGCCATAACAAACTAATACAGGGATTAACTCTCATACTGTATGTTTCAATGCTATTTAATACCATACTTGTGTATCGGCTAAAATATTTCATAGCCCCTGTGGTGCATCGCCTATACCTGGGGTAATACTGGCCAACAAACTCACAAGGTCATCATGGAAAATGGTAAATCCATAGACTAAGGCAACTGTAGAAGGGTTTAGGCCCGAGGCAGTGTAGCTGGTTGCTAAGATGATGGATGATTATAGGGGAAGCTCTGTGTGGTCAGTGTCCTGCTTCCTCCTCTACCTTGACCTCCCTTTATACTGTGGCATCCAAGCTGAGACACCATTCCTGAATCAGCCCTCCTTCCACCAATGGACTCTGTGCTGAGGTAGGTCATAGCTATGGTTCTTTCTGCTCTTAAATTTCAGTGCCTTTCCTTCAAATTAAAATAGGCTTGAGAATATTTTCTTACATTAAAAAAGATTTATTTTGTTTCTGTTCAATTTAGAAAATAGAGAAACTGACAAAGAAAATGATGAGCATTATCTAAAAGGAATATCCACTAAAAGGAAACTACTTGGTTAATATTTTAATAGATTTATCTCTGGTCCATTTCTGTTTATGTCCGTTTATAACTTTAAAATATTCAATAAATGCTATTTAGTAATCTTCACTTTCCCCATTAAAATATATTATGAATACTGTTGCATTGCCTACCACCAATGTCTAGATTTGTACTGAGTGAATATTATATATTTATAATGAGAGAATAGTGCTCTGTTGTAAGAATGAACTAGAATTTATCAAACCACTTCACATGGCTGTTTCTGTCATTTCCAATTTTTCACTCGAGTCCTTTTGTTCACCACGGATGGCTCCTAGAAATAAGTTTCTAAATTTATATTTATTTTTTATTCATATTGCCAAATTTTTCATCAGAGAGTTTTGAAGTGTACTCAGAAAGTGTGTATGCCATCAATAGGAACAAGTGGTAATTTGAGGGAGCAATACAACAAAATAGCATACATATCAAATCGCATACATATCAACATATGTGTCACTCCATCTATTGAAAAAAATCTGCATTAACCGGGACACCTGGTAAAGGGGGTCAGTGGTTATTGCTAAGCTGTCCCCTGAAAACTAATGAGGTGATAGAAGGGCCTCCCTCTTGAGTCTACACTTTCTTTTCATTCCTCACTGACCCTGTTTGCCTTAGTCCTCATCACCCTGAAACTGACCTGAAACATTTGGGCAAGTTGTTTCTTTCTTCTGGGTCTGTTTTTTCTTTTTATTACCATTGACAGGCCAGTTTATATTAGTTTCAGGTGTACAACATAGTCATTAGACATTTATATAACTTACGAAATGATCACCCAGATAAGTATAGTCCCCATCTGACACCATACATAGTTATTAGAATATTATTGACTGTATTCCCTATGTTGTACTTTATATCCCCATGACTATTCTGTGACTGCCAATTTGTGATTCTCAATCATTCCCCTTTTTCACCCATCCCCAACCTCCTCCCATCTAACAACCATAAAATTATTCTTTATACTTATAATTTGCTTCTCTTTTGCTTGTTCATTTATTTTCTTTTTTAGGTTCACATGTAAGTGAAATCATATGTTATTTGTCTTTCTCTGTCTGACTTATTTCACTCAGCATTATACCCTGTAGGTTCATCCATGTTGTAAATGGCAAGATTTCATTTTTTATGACTAAGTATTATTCCATTGAATACATACCACAGCTTTTTCACCCACTCATCAATCAATGGACACAGGTTGCTTCCGTATTTTGGCCATTATAAATAATGTTATGGTGAACATAAGGCTGCATAGGTCTTTTTTAATTCGTATTTTGTCTGTTTTATCTGTAAAATAAACCAGCTTACCTGCCAGGTCTTTATTAGCCTCAATATGCTATCTTCTGATAAATTTGATCACTTCCCAAATCAGAGTTGAAAAACCATGCACTTCTGCACCCTACTAGCCAGGGAAATTCTAGTCTCATCCCTTTTATGTCTTTGGTGACCCCCTCCCATGGTTTAGCTCCCCTCTCCCTTCATAAGCACTTTTGGTGCTTTTTGCTGCTCTCTGACCCTAAACCCTAAATTGAATCCACTCAAGCCTGACTCTCCCCTGAAGAGCTCCAGAGCTAAAGTAAACTCCAGCCATGTCTCTATTATGTTCATCAAATTCAAAATCTTAAAGGGTAACAACTTAAGTAGATATTTTCTAATGTTTTAAGGAGACCTAGATATAATGTCAGAGAGAGAGAGAGATATTAGAAACCATCTTGCCTAGTGATTTAAAAGCATTTTTAGAAGCAAAAAAAAAAAAATATTTTCCAAAATAAATTGCATAAGGCTACAAAAAGATAAGATAAATCAGTAGTAGATACCTAGTATGTATATATCATATAACATCCAAATTTATAACCTTCGTCCATTGTAAAGATACTTTGGTGATTCCCAGACTTACAAATGATTATAAGCCACAGTACTCTGTTTGTATCAGTCTTGGCTTACACAGTTGTTCTCTCTATATATTTTTGTCTCTATGATATGATAAAATCTACACAGAAAATCAGTTGAAGTCATAATTTTTTTGAACAATTTCAGTTCTGTTCAATTATACAAGGTAGCAAAGGAAGTTTTACTCTAAGGTTCTAGCACAAGTTAATGGATATAGTCACTGATGTGAAATTTGACATATAACATACATTTGAGATTACATGTGAAGCAAAGTTAGTTAAATAGGCGAAATTTCATTTGAAAACAAAATTTAATCCATACATTGGCAGGAGCCTTAAATTCCTTCTGAATAAACCAGGTTTCCACAGAATACTGTTTGAAAACTATCCATCTAGTTCCAACTGAATTTGAGAAATGCCAAAGCCTGGATGGGAAAGTTGACCATCCTTTAGCAACAAGTCATACAAGTTGCTACCAAAGGACCCCAGGCCCTGACTCTCACTCTGGTGCTCTTTCAATGGCACTTGCATACTTCATTAACCAATTTCTTATTTTTTATTACTGGAGCTTCAGGCCTAATGCAAAACAAAGAAAAAATACTTTCATAATTAGGGAAAGAAAGATGTTTGGGAACAAAGGAACTGACTTAATTAGCTCCTAAATTACTTATCTACCTTCCTGGATAAATTAATCCTACTTCTGATTGCTATAAGTTTATTTATCTGCATAAATTTATACTCACTGCAAGCCTTCAGCATGCGTGGGTCTGGGGTGACCCTAATGCATTTCTATCGAGCTTGTGAGAACATTTTGGAACAGTTTGAGGCCTTGCCCTGCTGCATCCGGAGCAAGATTATAGACATTTCAGACAGTCGGGTAACAAAAAAAAATTACACTTAAATCTAAGACCACTTTAAGTTTAATATTTATATTACTTATTCTGCTCGTTTACAACAGGTTGAAAAAAATGCTAAGACTCTCCTTTTCCTAATGCTATTTCTCAAATTGCCCTAAGCCTGCAATCACTAGCCCAGACCCCTCGCTCCAGAAACCATGAACCAGTTAGGCTTCAGAAGAAGTTGAGAGTCAATACTCAATCCAAGGCTATTTGGAGACAGAGGCAACTTTGCTGTTCTAATCTCCCTTTTTGGGTAATGTGCACATGGAAACAAACCCTTCCTTTAGCCACCATCCCATTTCCAGCCATGTTTCACACCCAGAAGACAGATGGACTGCTTACCGATGTCACTAATTCCCTAAGGTCAAGAGGGGCCTCAGAGACAGACACTCTGATTTCTGCTCCTCCCTTTCTTTTATCAAAATGCACTCCAGTAGGAACTATGTCTAACTAGCTCTTTGATTTTTTTTTTTGGGGGGGGGGGGCGCTAATTCTTTCATCACAAATATCTTCCTTTGTGATTTGCAAATATTTTATTTTATCAATTCACTTCAAATTTTATTTCTTTTTTGGCACATCATTTGTGAAACTATTTTGATGATAACTATAATGAAGCTATGGAAAGCTGAAACACTGGGAGTGCCAAGATAGAACGACTCCAAAATAACCATTTTGCTTTCTAAACTATGAAGGGTACTTAGGAAAATTTTTTTGCTGCCATTGAAGCAATTATGGAAGTTCAGGCCCTTTACTGCTGTTCTCATGCCTCTGTTATCTCTGGATTGAGTGACCTGGATGCTAAACAACTCAATAAACCATGGAACATTCTACTTATCAGAGTATTTGCAAAATGCCTCCATGAGGAGCATTCATGACATTTGGCATCAATCAGACCAAATCCATGTGATCTTATTCTCTAGGCTTTGCTGTATTTGTTTGTTAAATGTAGCCAGTTTTTATGAAACTTAATAAAACAAAGCGCATGTTTAAGTCCACTTTGAGATGAAAGAAAACTGAGCTGACAGAAACCATCATTAGCAATTAGAAATGAGTCATGTTTGTCTCTTCAATCCGTAGTTTCTCCTTACACAATTTTAAAGCCTCATAGAGGTTGTCGTTATTATAAATCATCATTTTACTACATTTTTTATGCTGGTGGGTAAAGGGGAAACTAAATAACAAAACAAACAAACAAACAAACAAACAAAAAACAGTTTTATTTCACTGTCTGGGACCAAATTCCTCTCTGAGGAAACAGATGGAGCAATTTGCTTCGCAGGGATTAGAGCTTCTCTCCCTGCAGGCAGGATGTCTAAGAGCAGCACACAGCAGCCCCCAACGCCCGCTCTTCCTTAGATCCATGTGGTTCACCTGATAAAAATACAATACAAAGTCCTGGGCCCCAAACCTGGAGACTCTGCCTCAGATGTTCAGGCTGTGAACTGAAATCAGCATCACCAGTCAGATGATTCTCAGTCTATTTTTCGTAAATATGAGAGGTAAAGTCAAGGTGGAAACCTTCATCACTACTTGTTCTTATTAAAGTCAGTGCTATGACAAGAAAATATACAGTTAGGCTATGCATTTGCTGTCCAGTGGATGAATGTGTTCTGCAGCTGATGAGAATAAAAGATTGCATTTGTGGAGAACAGGGGGCATCTGATCAAAATGACGAGTCACATTTTTCTCACCTGGAAAACAGACAGCTACTAAATCAATGATGGCAAGCTAATATACGAAATATATGTTTCCAGTTTTACAGTATTTTGAAGCATTTATCAACAGTTAACAAAAACTCAATAATTTCCAATACTGACTTTAAAAAAAAACAAACATGGTTCATATACCTTTTCTAAGGAGCATTTGTTTTTCAGACATATATTCATATACTGTGATGACTCTAGGCCAAGATTTCTCAACTTCAGCATTATTGATATTTTGAGCCAGTAAATTCTTTTGGAGGGAGTCTGTACTATGTATTGTATGTAGGATGTTTAGCAGCATCCCTGGCTTCTGCCACTAAAGTTCAGTAGCGCTCCTTAGTGGTGACAATCAAAAATGCCAGAAGTTCCCTGGGAAAAGCACGCTCAAGAAAAATCATTTAAGCTCTCATGGGCTTCAGAATTTTGTAACATAAGATGCAAGAGGAAAGATAGCATTCATAGCAATAGAATCAGAAAAGACTATATAATAAGTGATACTGGCAAAACTAAATAACCGCTTAGAAAAAATAACCCAGATGCAATATCTACTCATGCCAAAAAATAAATTTTAAATGGTCTGGAGTTCTAAATGGAAAATTTAAGAAAATAAAGGATATATTTTTATAAACTGGGGTAAAGAAATCTATCTAAACAAATTAGAAACCAAATGTAAAAATTTCAAGAGCCTTAACTCCACAACAAATTTAACATTTCTTTATGATGACCAGGCCCTGGTAAAGGCATATGCAGGAGGCAGCCAATCAATGTGTTTCTCTCACATTGATATTTCTTCCTGTCTTTCCCTCTCTCTTCCACTCTCTCTAAAAATCAATGGAAAAAATGTCCTCAAGTGAGGATTATTAGAAAAGTAAAAAGAAAAAAAGAAAAGAAAAGAAGAAAAGAGGAAAAGAAGAAAAATTTCTGAAGAAAAATTAGCTTTTCACCCATCTCTCCAATCCCATCTGGCAACTGTCAAAATGTTCTCTGTATCTGAGTCTATTTTGTTCTACCTGTTCATTTATTTTGTTTTTTAGTTTCAATTATTGATAGATATATATTTATTGCCATGTTATTGCTCATATGTCGTCTTCTTCTTCTTCTTCTTCTTCTTCAAGAAAGTCTTTAACATTTCATGTAATACTGGTTCATATAACTCCTTTAGCTTTTCTTTTTGTGTCTGGGAAGCTCTTCATCTGTCCTTTGATTCTAAATGACACTTTTGGTTGTAGGTTCTTGCTTTTCATCACTTAGAATATTTCTTGCCACTCCCTTCTGGCCTGCAAAGTTTCTGTTGAGAAATCAGCTGACAGTCTGATGGGAACTCCCTCGTAGATAACTGCTTTTCTCTTGCTGCTTTTAAGATTTCTCTCTTTGTTTTAAACCTTTGGGACTTTAATTATGATGAGTCCTGATGTGGGCCTCTTTGGGTTCATTTTGTTTTGGACTCTCAGAACCTCCTGGGTTTTTATGTCTATTTCCTTCACCACATTAGGAAAGTTTTCTGTCATTATTTTTCAAATATGTTTTTGCTTTCTTTCTTCTCCTTTCATCCGGCATCTCTATGATGCCAATATTGAAACACTTGAAGTTGTCCTAAAGGCTTCCTATACTGTCTTCATTTTGGGGAGGAATCATTTTTCATTTTTCTGTTCTAATGGGTGTTTTTGCTTGCTTATATTCCCAATTGCTGACTTGATTTTCCGCTTCACTTTACTGTCAATACCCTTCATTTCAGTTAGTGCCTTCATTTCATTTAGTTATTTTTTTCTGGAGATTTCTCCTATTCTTTCATTTAGGTTCCTTTTCTTTGTCTCTGCATTTTGGCTGCTTCTCTTTGTTTCTGTGTATTAGTTAGAGCTGCTACATCTCTTGGTCCTGATAGAGTGACCTCAGGTAGTAGATGTCCTGTAGGGTCCATGGCACAGCCTTCCCATTCACATAAGCACAGCACTCCAGGTTCACTCCTCTGTGGGCTATATGCACTGTCCTGTTGTAGTTGAGCCTTGATTGCTTTTTGCAGCACTGAGAGAGATTGACTCTCAGGACCTGCTGCAATGACAGCAGAGGAACTGCTGTGCAGAAGCTAACCATACAGATCAGGATTCACTTCAGTGGGGCTTTGGTGCTTGCCGAGTCTGCCTTGCGTGTGTCACTCATGGAGATGGTAGGGTTGTAATCTGGTATCATCTGAAGCTATCCATTGGGTGGACTGACACTGGGGCTCTCTGGGAGGTGTAAGGTCAGCCCCTGCCTCTTCTCTCTCTGGGGCCATCTGGTACAAGCTACAGAGTGATATGCAGATGGCTGCTACTTTTGCTGGGCTGGGAGATTCCCAGGAAAGGCAAATCAAGGCCAACTTCGGTTAATGTCAGGCCTGGTCCACTTTGCAAGAGGTAGGGAGGACACCGAGGCCAGAAACTACTTGTTTGGGAGATTTTAGGAAAGTCCAAAGCATGAGGCAAGAGAGACCATTCATATGGTAAAACCATTGCAAACAGTTTGCTTGAGCCTACAAGTTGGGTGGGAAAAGGTCTCAGGGAATCCCCAGGGCTGGGCAAACAGTGTGAACCAGATTGATGGAAACTTAAATGTGGTATTCATCTGTTGGCTCTGTGGGTGTGTCTCAGAAAAGGAACAGTGGCCTCTGCCAGCACTTTTTTCTGGCAGGAAGCTGACCCCAGCTTTCACCTTGATCCCAGACAATTCAGTTGCTCCCCATATGTCCCTTTCGAGTCTCTTCCCCAGCCCTGGAGCTCAGAGGGAGGGATTCTGAGTAAGTCTATGCCTTGGTCCTTTAATAGGAACTGCCTGGGACTCCAGGGGCCTTCTGTCTCCTTCAGTCTCATTCCCAGCTGGTTTTTACAGCCATAAGCTTTGGGGACTTCTTTTCCTGGCTCTAGAATCCTGGGCTGAAGAGATCTAGTGTGGAGCTGGGATCCCTCATTCCTCAAGGGTGACCTCTGCCGGTGAGCTATCCCTCCTAATTTTTATCTGCCATATGTGGGTATAGAATCAGCCCATTCCTTGCTTCTACCCCTCCTACAAGTCTCAATGTGCCTTCTTATTTAAATCTTTAGTTATAGGATTTTCATTCAGCTAGATTTCAGGTGGTTCTGAATGATGGTTGTTCTGTAGTTTAGGTTTAATTTGGATGTCAAAAATTATTTTAAAATTTAAATCCAGGAGAAAACTTTTAAAGAGACAATTCACAGAGATTTATGTAATTGCTTTTGATAGTATGTGGGGTTTTGTCCTTGCATGGGGCAGAGGATA